CACATTGTTCACAAAGTATAACAAGATAATATTCGGATAATATTCATCCTTGTGGGGCAAAATATGCCCGTATATGGAAAGCCATAGCTGTCTTAAGTGATCAAACGGCATTTTGTTGGGTGCTTTTCGCATTATACGCGGTGCTTTCACCATTATACGCGGTGGTTCTAGCATTATACGCGGTGCTTTCAATATTATACCCGGTGGTTCTAGCATTATACGCGGTGCTTTGACCATTATACACGGTGCTTTCAACATTATACGCGGTGGTTCTAGCATTATACGCGGTGGTTCGAGCATTATACGCGGTGCTTAAATCGTTATACGCGGTGGTTCGAGCATTATACGCGGTGCTTTCGGCATTATATGCGGTGCTTACACCATTATATGCGGTGGTTCTAGCATTATACGCGGTGGTTCGAGCATTATACGCGGTGCTTTCGGCATTATATGCGGTGCTTACATCATTACCGTATTTACTCGTTTGAGCGCCGCCCCCGATTGAGCGCCGCCCCCGAATGAGCGCCGCATTTGAGATCGCATTTTTTTAAAGAGCGTCGCCCCCGAATGAGCGCCGCGTAAAAAACTTTCCACCATCAAAATGGGGACATTTAGCAACAGACATTTAAAACTTGTTTATTTTATTGTTAAAAGTTCTTCTTATAATTCACAAATAAAAGTTTTTTAAAGAGCGACGCGGCGCTCAAACGAGTAAATACGGTATACGCGGTGGTTCGAACATTATACGCGGTGCATTCATAATTTGCATCATTATGTGGTAGTGAGCCAGTATGTTTGGACAGCGGTTAATATTTATTTAGTTATCAGTCCACAGCGGCCCAAACTCTGAATGGTCTATATATTTTGAATATTATACGGAATATTTATACGTTATAATCTCTGCGTTGTAATATTTAACGAAATAATTAAAAAATATCAACAATATACCGGGTGTCCCCAAAAAACTATACCTATTATATTAAAGCTAAAACTGAACGGTTTAGAAATAGTTTTATCCCATATGCAATTAGAACTTATTCGTAGTTTTAAATTAACGTTTTAATAATTTTATATTTTCTTATATAGCTTATTTTGAATACGTATCTTAATTAACTTCATATAATGTAAAAACGTGTAATTCAATCCCTGATTGCAAAACGTTTTTTATTAAAAATCACAATCACAGTATATAACATTTAATTTTCCGCGCGTTGACAGAGCTATTGGACCATTGGCGTTTTGAAATTGAACTACCATTTCTGAAAAGGTTAAAATTAGCATAAAACGGCATATCAAATTCCAATTTAGTTTGCCGTGTTGATAATTTTTATTCTTGCTAAAAGAATGAATTTATGTACAAAGGATTGACTAACTGAGTTTACTCATCAGGAAAAGCGTGTCTTTGAGCCTGAATGAACCGTTGTGTATGCTCTAGAAATCATGCCATCATAAGCGTTTTGAATCATTTGTTGATCCAAAAATCTAATCGACAATGTTTACAGTTTTTCATTACGAATTTGAATCACAATTAGCCCATGCAAAGGACATCAACGTAAATTATTACTTTTTTATTTCATTCTAATAAGAATCAATCTTTAAGTGTAATTTTTATTTCAAAAGTAAATTTGCAAGGGAACATTTTAGTGAAATAGCTTTTAATATAGGTTTTACGTTACATGAACTCAAACAGTGTATAGTTTTTTGGGGGACACCCAGTATGTAAAAAATATAGCTAAATTGTTAATAGATGCATTGTTGCGTTTCTGAGTCTAGTCGATGCGATTGTTTTAGGTTTTCGCCGTACTTGAACGGTCGTCAATACTGACACTAAACGACACAGGGTTGTACAGCTGCATAACAAATTCTCTATCGCCTGTTTCTTCTTACCTGTCGTAACGAAAGACGCTCTATATAAACGCTATATACTCTATAGTTATACTACATTCCTTAGTAATTCAGTACAACCATGGCTCATGCTACGATGGCCCAATTTGGTAAGACACCTTATATTTTACATTTATTTCACAATAGCCGTGCACATATTTTGTTATTTTATATTTATTCACTCTGTAATCCAAATCGATTTCGGTATTCTATCCTTCACATGACATGCGCCAGCCCCAAATCCCTGCTGACCATTCCATGAAGGACGAAACGCCGCGTACAGGGATACCGACTTTTACGGCACGTGACTATTTCATTCTCTCGCTTTATATATTTTACATGTACTTCCATACACGCTTTTTTAAGTTCAGCGCGATCATACCTTTTGGGCAGATCAAATATTTTTTTACACCACAGGATATATTTTACCGTTACAATTTTACAATCACACATGGATCCACATGCATCTCCAATTTTATGTTTCTTAAATCTACACCTGTAGCCTACTTATATTTCTTAGGTTCACATTTATACAAATACAAGTCGTTTTTCCTCAGTTTTATCTCAACATAATTTTCACAGGCATACATTGTGCCAACAACACGAGGCCATCACATGCACTATCATATTTCACGCTACACTTTTGGATCTAACATTTGGGGACTATTGTGGCATAAAATTATTACTAGGACACCAATAGGCAATATGGTTCTCATTACCTATATCTAAACTTAAAAAAAACTGCCTCCATGCCCAGAGATCGAAGTATTTCGTCGATGACAAAAAAAATATAACACTAAATAACATTCTTTCAACATTAATCGTGTTCGAAGTAAACGTTTTTTCCCCTCAAAAAACTCTAAATATATTGCGAAAATTTGCCGTCGCAAAACATATAAATGCTAACATGTGATCGAGACACGAAGTATAAAATATTCTTTCTAAGCCGCTGTCCAAACATACTGGCTCACTACCACATAATGATGCTCACTACCACATAATGATGCAAATGAGTATAATGATGAAAGCACCGCGTATAATGCTCGAACCACCGCGTATAATGGTGAAAGTACCGCGTATAATTGGCGAAAGCACCGCGTATAATGGCGAAAGCACCGCGTATAATGTTGAAATCACCGCGTATAATGCTAGAACCACCGCGTATAATGCTTGAACCACCGCGTATAATGGCGAAAGCACCGCAAATAATGCCGAAAGAACCGAGTATAATGCTAAAAGCACCCAACAAAATGACGTTTGATCACTTAAGACAGCTATGGCTTTCCATACCCTAGTAGCTTTTTTCAATCCAATCATTCAACAGTAACTGTATGTTAAACTTTTAAGCAAGTTTATACATGCCCATAGCATTATAAACTTAAGTTAATGAAACAAGCGTTAGGACAAGAGTAAAGTTGTGCAAAGTCTCCTGGAGTACAAAGGTCTGGTACAAAGGTCAATCTGTGAATCATGTGATCATACACGTGCAAAGCACAAGGCTGAATTAACAACAAACCATTGTCAAATCTCTTCCCATGCATGTGCGGGAAAATAGACCAATCAGGTTTCACCTCTTCGTCGGAATAGTTTCCTGCTTGGATCAGTAAGCCTCATTGTGTCACTTGCAAGCAAAATTGTATGACCTCTGCGGCAAAGTACTTCGAAATTACCACCCATCCCACCCTTCAAGGATTTTGCACCACTATATCATAACCCGTATCACATAATAAATAAGAATCTGTAAATATTGTTTTGATATGCAATCCGGCATCAAGATTCACATGAAATGCAATTCATGTAGTGTTATAAATAAAGTATTATGGAGTAGTTACTGGTTAATATGTTATTACAGGCACATATATATGTTGTAATATACAGTATTGGAATTGACTTTGCAAGTCTGGTTGTAAAAATAAAAATATTTGGTTGTTTGCGGATGGAGTGCTCCCAAAGGTCACCCTCAACCCCATAGACTCACACTAATCAATGTATTATACAGTGTATTGTATAGTAAACAATGACCATCACGGGGATCTACTACCCCTTGGACATTAAAGTAAACAATGACCATCACGGGGATCTACTACCCCTTGGACATTAAAGTAAGCAATGACCATCACGGGGATCTACTACCCCTTGGACATTTAGGATGCCCATCTCGGGGATCTACTACCCCTTGGGTAAAGTCCAACATGGGGGAACTACGACCCCCTGAGGACATATAATTATATCATAATCATATTGCTGTAATAGTGAGTCTGTGGGGCGACACTTTGGCCACAGTTTAAAGTATAACCGGAGCATTTCTCCTCGACAACCCTTCTCCCACAACATTGTGTGTGATAGTTGTTTTCTTAATTGTCTTAGAATATTTGCTTAACGAATTGGTGCATTAACCACAGAATGTACATTTCAGACTATAAGATGTCTTGGTGGAAATTTTCGAAAATAAACTCCTCATATTTATAATCCTTGTATAAATTGTATCGATCGAGATACCAGGAGCATTCAAGTATACTTCGGCCCACCTGATCGCGGGCGTACGCCGGCCCAAATAGGGTTAATTTCTAGGTTCATATACGGACATTTTAACCATAGTGTTTTTAGAGTGCATCTATAGTATAATTATTAGTTGTTTAAGAAGAGAATACACTTCGTTATGACTAGATATTCAAAATTTTAAATTTTTGATACGTTTCAAAAGCGGCAAATAAAATTAAAAAGTAGGTTTAGTGCTTTATCTGTTAAGTTATGCTAAAATGAAAAGATTTTAGATGGTACGCCAAAGAGAAAACGATGTCTGAAGTTCAGTAAGTTTTGTTTATATTGCTGTATAAATATGGCGTCAATTTTACAGCATCATCGATAATTTTAGTTATGTTTTGTGGCGTTGTGCTTTAGTTATTTTACAAAGACAAATGTTTAATATTTTAAAATAAATATATTTTATATTCTTAATATTTTATATTCTTAAAATAAATACTTAAATTAGCATAAATATATATAATTTAACAAATTAATATACTTATTTAATAATAAATAAAACAAACTCTTTTCATGAAAGAAATTAAATCATGAAATTTTCATGCACAAGAAATTCCCGCGATATACTTGCTCTACTTCTTGACTTGATCCAAGGTTTTATCAGAGATTGATTTACCAGCGGAATCTATACCGCTGTTGGCACTGTGTGAGCTGCTGAAGTCGATGTGGAAATGCGGAGTGAAGGTCCATCCAAGAATTACAATTCTTGCATCCTAGAAACGACAAAGCATTGTTTATATTTATTAACTACCTAGTATATTATCCAGTATTTGTGAAACTCATTAATAATTCCTGAAGAAAACACGAGCGAAATCATGAGCGTGACGTAGTTTGTATATCAGATACAAAATCAGGCTGATTTGCATAAACTTTAAATTTAATTTTCTCACCAAATATCATTCATTTATTTTAAATTGTTGAAGAATACGAATGTTCTCATCGAGACGTTTCACAAGCTATATAAACCATTCGCGTCCGTGTTACATATACAACCTCTCGCCGTGCTGTATCAGACATACAACATCTCGCCTATATGTGATACAACCCGGCCGTTCATGCTTTATCTATTACCAATCTAGTATATTATCCAGTGTACAAATAAGGTGAGTTGTATTACTTACAAAATTGAATATCTTGGTAACCCCATTCATCTCAACTTCAAATCTGACATATTGAATATCAATGATACTCAATGCCGCATTCACCAACGCCTGGAGGACAGAGGCTCCAACCTATATCAGGAAATAAGAAAACAAGGAAAGAACGATGAAATGGACAACTTGCATGTTGGACTAAATTTTAATCTAAGTAAAGAGAAGGGAATTAAACAGCTAAAAGGAACATATATGAAATTTATAGTAAAATTGCAAAGTTTGGTCACACTACGTCGAAGGGAAATTGTTTGAAAACGTCACTTTTGCCGTAACGATTTGAGCACGGTTTCCAAACGGTAAACACGAAGCTCTAGGAAGATGTTCTGTGATTGGTTGACTATGACAATGACAAAAGACGTAATTGGCTTACATAAACAAAAGGAATATTGTTCTTGCTTCGTTCTTTAGAAAATCCATTCTGTATACCTTATTCTTTTGTCATTGTCATAATCAACCAATCACAGAACATCTTCCTAGAGCTTCGTGCCCAGCCTTTCCAAACGGAGCGAGATAAAAACGAAGCGCTTGGCGGCTTCGTGACAACACAAACGCCGTTACCTTTTTTGTACCGCTCACTGCTGATTAAATCGGAAATATGCGAAGAAAGTAACTTTAAAAATTTGAGAGTTAAATCCGTATGGTATAGACGTCACAGCCGCCATGTTGGTGTTCCAATTCAAACGAATTTTAATTAGACTCTTTTGTCTGGAACACCAACATGGCCGCCATGGCTTTTGTTGAGTTGGTCCCTGGGGAATGAGTGCAAACGCTCTATAGGTTTGTTTCTCTAAGCACTATCGTGCTGAACCTTTAAATGACTACTTTTTATGTCAGCACGTTTATGAATGATGGTCAGTATTTTAGAGATATTTCAAAAATATTAAATGATAAGCACTTACCTTGATAATACCTTTCACGCCTTCCAAAAAGAGGTCGGCAGCCTTCAGAGCGAGTGTGGCAACGCCATGTGCAATCCACAATCCAGCAATAATAGCACCATGATAGATTAGTTTACCTGCAGTTCCAATACAGATGTATTTCTTGTACCATGGTGCTCTGCTGCACTCGTGTTTAGCATCTTCGATCTTCCGTTTGTGGTAACTAAGGTAAAAAATGATCGCTAGAGGTCCGTTTATACATGCAATTTTTGCCGCGATTTCAAGTGCGATTTTCTCATTCTGGTGCATGTGAACGAGTAGATGGAGTGAAAATGTTCTCGAGTGTGTATTTCATAATTTCCAGAGAGTGGTTAGCGCAAGATATTTCACCTCAGGGACTGGGTTTGATTCCTGCAATATGCAATGATCTGATTATAATCTCACCTCATTTTCATGAGAAAAGAATATTTTCAGTTTGGTTAAGGCAGCGCTTTTTCCTCTTGTTGTAAGACGGGAAGAGGGGCATTTTCCCGCGGACCCGCAGCTCAAAAGGGACCCCCAAAGCCCTTAAAACTTGTTGATAAAGGATGATTTAGCTTGGGTTTCTCAGTGGACCTCTGTGGAAAATGGTTTCGAACCAACAAAGTTTGTACCTCTGTGGAAATAGTTTAGAACCGACAGAGCTGACCAGCGTTACTAAACTTAGTTTAGCTTCAGTATTCACTTATACTCAACGCAAACACGATTGTTTTAATAAATGCGTTTTCAAACATGGCCGACGTAAACTTACTTTATGGAGCTATAAAGTCTGTCAACCTCATGTTGAGCATTTCTGATCTTTGTTTGGGCGCCTTCGATCTTCTTGTTAATAGCCTGAGCGCCAGCTCGGATCGCTTGAGTAGCTTTCTGCTTGATCTTGGCAAACAGGTCGTTCTGCATTTCGCCAATGACATGTACGCTAGGCGATGCCTTGTCAATCGCGATATCGACCAAGAGATATACTTGGAACAAGTTCCATAGATTCAATCTGCCCTCGAAGAAGAATTTCTTACTATTTATTTGCAGTTTCACCGAAATCATTGCACCAAAGATTTCAATCTGTGGAAAATAAGAGATATGTTGTGTTAATTAGTTAATTGATTAGTTTAATACTTAATTAGATAGTTACGTGATTAGGTAGCCTAGCTTGCTACTAAGACAGTTCATAGTCTTTCGAGACATGGTCTGGAAACTCAGTAAACTTCAAAGCGGTTATAATGAGCTGTGTGTTTATGTTGAGCCGTACCTCACATCGTGCATATCTTTTGTATTAGGTTTATTAACATTTAAATAGCATGGTTGAATGACTGACTGAAACGTTGCTATTGGATGATTCGCTCATTATACTGAAATACAATGTGTTCATTGACCCTGCACCGTGCACAAAACTGCATAAACGCGAACAAAAAGATGGAACAAAGACTTTAGCGGAGTTTCCAAACCATGTTTTGAAAGACTATGGACAGTTACTGCGAGCGAGTTAGCTTGTGAGTTACATTTAGCATGAAAGTAATTTAATTAGAATGATCTTTAGAACGTTAATTAGTCAATTAATAAAGAAAAACTTTGTAGATAATTTAACATAATCAATTAGTTAATGACTCAATTAGTGACTTAATTAGTAGCTTACCCTGCAAGAACCATCAATCTTCAATTCAGATAAATTTTCAGTTATATACATTTTCAAGTGCGCTCCTTTGGTATCAGAGTCAGCGTCGACCACCTTAATAAGACCACCAAGGTAGATGATTGGATCTAACACCAGATTCGCGTCAAGTTTAAATGATGCTGGTGGAAGAGCAATACTGAGATCGATACGAGCTCGAATGCTGAGAAAGGGGATCTGGAGGGTGCCATGAATCTCGACACCCGCATCATACCTATAAATAGTAACATCTTCATGATGTTTTGTCCACGAATACAGTTCCTTCATTTAAGGTTGTCTCTAAAGCAGGGTTCGTAGTCTCCAAGACCAAAAAAATTTAAAGACTTTCCAAGATATTTTCTGCCTATTTTCAAAGACTTTTCAAAGACCTTTGAGAGCAATCAGCTGTCGAAAAATTGCGAGTGTAAGCACTATTTTTACCCAGTAATTAGTCCCGTTAAATCACATCCTAAAATGTGCCTTTTTGTCGATATTTACAAAAAATCTTGCTTCAATCAATCTATTTTATTAGCTAGGAAATCGTATAATCAAATACTCACTAAAGAATTTAAGAACTTTTAAAGACTTTCTTCAATTTTTTACACAATTCAAAGACTTTTCAAAGATCTTAAAGACCTGCATTCAAATTTAAAGACTTTCAAGGATTTCAAAAACCATTACGAACCCTGTAAAAGTTAAAACCTTCGACCAGTCGACCTCTAAGCGCGAAATACACAATGGGCTTGTTTATTATTAATATTATATTGTTTATGCATGATGTTAGCACTTCCTAGTTATGTCATTTCCACATTAGTACTGAACAAACTTGCCGAGCATCCACGTCTTACGTACTAAAATGCAAACGTTGTACACAAGACGTAAAAACTCTGGTCCATCGGTTGTAAATAGACCGTGGAAAACGTCTAAATCTCCCCTGGGATTTTAATTATTCATTTCTTTTCTTAAATATTTTTTAATTTCATTGTATATATTACTAGCCGTCCTCATCAACGGTCTGCCGAAAGTCGTGGGTTTTCTCCGGGTGCTCCGATTTCCTCCCACAGGGAAAGTCGACAGGGTGGGATATAGGGAAACACAGTTACGAAAATAAACAAAGAATGTAATTACCTTCTACCGAAACAATCTGGATTCCCTGCGAGGGAGAAATATATCTGAACCTCATCAGGGAAACCAACTTTCGCCAACTTCTCAGGCAAGCTTACTGGTTTACCAGCAAACAGGTTGATCACATCTTCGAGAAGAAGTCGGGTAAAATGAAGCTCAAAGACGGTTTTATCAGGAGTTGATGGATCGATACATAGGGTCAGTTCAATATCGATTGGATCTTTTCCAGTCGCACTGGGAACGTCCACACTAATTGCACCCGTTATTCCAAAACTCGGTATCAAATCTTCAACATTTATGCCAAGAGCCAAGCCCAAACGAGTGACGGTTAAACGTTTACTTATTCCAAACGGATTTACCCACTTGCCTTCCCAGAGTAGAGATATAGTGACTGTACCGGTGAACGTGAACTGTGGATAAGAAAGGTAGAAATCAACAACAAGCCCTTCTAAACTCTGTAAACTCTTATAGCTCTACAAGTTCTAAACTGTTCTCCTTAGGCATAGAGTCCAGTAAGAGCCATTAGCTCCATGCAGTATACTAAATAGCTCTATCAGTTCTAAACTGTTCCTCCTAGAGGTCCAGTAAGAATCATCTCTTATTGACGCAGTGTTACTACAAGAGGAAACCTAAACTAAACTAACTTTATTTATACTGGATAGCTCTATCAGTTCTAAACTGTTCTTACCGATACTTCGCCAGTAAAAGTGGAGTCAATGGAATCTGGATTTTTGCTATCCAAATTGACCTTGCACTGGAGCGACAAACCAATAAGTCGCTTGCTGATTATTAACTTCATGTAAGTAAACCTCCACCCTTCAATGCTACCAATTTGAAGGCCTTCCGTGCCCAGTTTTACCTCCAACTCAAATACGAGTGCCGGGAAAGATATTTTCACTATTATTTGAGGCTCATTGCCTGCGTCTGGTTTTAGGTCGGTGTCCTTGTTCACTCCTGGAAATACAGTAGGAAAAGTTGGACTCTGGTGTTACATGAAAGACAAGGGAGAGGTTTTTATTCAACTCTGAAGTTCACAGTTGAATGAAACCCGAGACCTGCAACCTTTATCTTGTTTCCATGTTCGGTAGATAATTTTTTTTCGTTTGTTTTCGGAGGTATTTTACAGCGGCTATGATTAATTTTACTTCTTGAACGAAATTGCCTTAGGGCGTGTGGTATCTTAGTCATGTAAGTCAAGGTGCGCAGTTCATCTGTATTTTCTTAAAAAATATTGAAATATTGAAATAAATTACAGGATCGGTGAAAAAAGAAAGGCATTTTCGTACTACCATTAGGTTACTATCACCTACCTTCACGTAACATATGCCCCAACATATTATCACCTTTCGGTACAAATCTTGCATAGATCGTGATTCCTGAAAATTCTGGTTTACCATCCGAGGCTCCTTGAATATAACTTTTGAACGATGGATTAAGGAACTCGTACGGCGAGATACGTACCCTCTGACTGACGTACACCACCGCAAGATCTGTTAGACCTAGTGAACTCAAAAAGCTTATTTCCGATATTGCATCGGATTGCACAGCGAAACCAGCGACAACAGCTGATTGTCCACCGCTCATTATCAATGCAAGTTCGACCTAAAGGAGAAGAATTTTTATTGGTTTTCATCTCTTATACTATACTATAATACAATACACTAGTGAGTAGTGGGTTTCAATTTTGCTTTGTAAAATTAAATACACGTCGTGCTTTCTGTGATGCAAATAAAAATGTATGTCCTTTCGTACATACCTGACTCTCGTGGAAAAGACTTGTCGTTGCTGCAAATGCAATTGACTTTGAACCTTTATTGGCTCCAGTTCTTTGCCACAAAAGGCGTAGTTTCGGATTGAAGATCGTAAATCCAGAAATCATAGACGGTAGAATTTTGCCGTTGAGATGTATCGTTTCTAAGACATCGCCAATAGAAACGGAGCACCTGGATCCTTCGGCAGTGAGGCTCAGGCGATCGGTTCCCAAATCTGCTACTATCGTAATTGTGCATGTTGCAATAACTATTTGCCCTCTCACTACAATACGCCATTTGCTTTGAGTGGCGGACACACCAGTACCATCAGCACCAGTACCAGTCGTCCCCTTTCCATATTCAAAATGTATTCCGACATTCCCTATTGAAAACTGTCCGAATAAATGCCATAGTCCAGGTATACTAGCATCCACCGAAACTGTTTTAACCGATCCCTTATCATCAAATGCTATAGCAATTTTATCTAATTCTATATTCTTAAAAATCTCCGGAAAATCTCCCGGCCATGTCAGGTCAGAACCCGCCAAGGCTTCGACGACACTTTTAACATTAAAGTCAGTAAAGGTGAAGGATATCTCATCATTTTTAAACGGAAATGGAATACGGACGTCGACTCTGGGGGACTGGCTAGTTTCGGGCCCCAAGGCCACGCGTCCTAAGACAACGCCGTGGGTCGAAGAAGTGTCTTTTTCTTTTACGTAGTTCAGGTCCAACTCAAGATTGTTGATGTTGATTTTATTATCAAACAGGGAGATTACATGCGTCATCTTAAGTTTCATGTTCATTGTCGTTAAAGCCCAACTACCGGTCGGTTTGCTGGCTTCCAAATGGAAATACACCAGCGCAATCGACAGTGGATCGGGGATAAACGGTGGCCAATCTTTAAGTTTGGTTTCGCCTCCTGTTGTTACGATGAGGTTGCTGGTGGGCAAGAATTCGCGTAAAACATGGCCAAGGTTGAGTTCGCCGTTTTGTGAAATCGTGAAACTTATGAGGGTTGGGGAAATGAAAATCGAAGTCGCGACGTAGATCTGTGCGATTGGAATTTCGAAGGACACCTGTAAGGGAAACCAGAGGCTCTATTTTAAAAAACGATCAGAACCAAGTCAGCCAACGAAAAAGGTAATATTTAAAACTAAGAAGTAAAATATTGTTTAAATGAGACCGGGAAAAAGCCAAAGCGGGATGAAGACCAGTACGTTCCCTATAGTAGCTCTTTACACGAGACGGGCTTAAAAATTTGCTAGTGAACCGCGCAAGCTAGAACCGACAATCTCCTGGCTCGCTCGGGGTTTTGTAGCAACTCCGATAATATGCAACACTTATTGTGCAATGCATTTGCAAAAGAAATGAAAGTTATTTCCGATTCAGTCCATAACCATACTGTTTAACAAGACTATTTAATTTAGTTCCGAACGACATTCGTCCGGAACTGAACAGTATACACATGATACGAATTAACTTTCTAACTCTGATAACTGCAGATTAACCAGGATTATCTATTGTCAACACTGACCTTCAGTCCTTTACGATATGGTATATCAAATATGTCTTCCGAACCAATATCCAATACCGTCAGTGGCGTCTCAACATCACCCGTGGACAGAGAGAAGGCAAGATTCCGCACTTCAACGCTGCCCAAAACTGGAACACTGCTTATATCTATTTTAAAAAGATCTTTAAGCATTTTCGAGATCGAAAAGGTGTGGGTATAGACGGCAATTGTGACAGTCGTTGGTAAATCGTTGGGCTTGTTGATGAGTACGTTGACATCAAAAGAATCCCAATCCAGAATTCGAATGGACCCACCAAACAGGAAACCATACCCGTCGGCAAATGTAGCTCGTAGACGAGGGTTTATCAACACGAATTTGTCGAAGTTCGCCTTCTTCAGGTCGCTTTGCATGCAAGTCGATGGTAGGAACGAGTCCTCTTGTTTGAACATGCGACTAATCGTTGTAGCGTCGAAGTTCGCAGTAGCTTCAGCGGCAAAGAAGTAGCCTTGAAATGGAAAGAAAAGTTTGTTAGAGTCTTGTCAGGGTAACTTGACCCGTGTTGAATGGATGACTTGGCCGGTGTTTAGTGGCGGAAGCTAGGATAACAGCAGACACATGATGGTGATGATAGCGATGGTACCATGATAGCGATGGTACCATGATGATAGCGATGGTGATCATAGCGATGGTACCATGATGATAGCAATGGTACCATGATGACAGCGTTGGTACCGTGATTATAGTGATGGTGATGATAATGATAGCGATGGTGATAGTCCTTGAAATGGAAAGAGTTTGTTCGAGTTTTTCAAGGAAATTTTTCCAGTGTTGAATGAATGAATGAGAAAAACTAGAAGTGTCGGAAGCTAGGTAACAGCAGACACTACACGAAAGGAAAGGAGGAATTACACGCAAGCAAATAATATATGAAAGTTCGTTGACTGGGCGGGAACATCGAGGAAGCAAGTTTGAGATGGTTTATGGGAATGTTAGGAGACGAGAGTGGCCACATCACATCACATGATGGGTTATTAGAGATGGAAAATGACCATACACGGTACAGCACGGAAACGATGGATAAAGGAAGATTTGGAAAAAGTTAATATCCAGTATAGAAAAATCTATTATAGAAAAAAGATGGTGATAATGACGATGATGATGATAGCGATGGTGATCGTAGCGATGGTGGTGATGATGGTGGTGGTGATGGTGATGATGGTTGTTATGGTGATGATGATGGTGATGATGGTTATGGTGGTGATGATGGTTGTTATGGTGGTAGTGGTGTCATTTACCTTCCTCATTGCGGATCAATCTCATATCAATCGGTACCTCCCCGACTGAAAACGTCGCAGCAAGATCGAAAGTAAATTTCTGTGACCGAGTCCAGACGAATGACAGCTCCACACGGATATTAGAAACGGTGAGAATGTCCTTGATAAGCGTTGCTGTACCGGTATAAGCCGCTGCGATTTCAACTCCTTTTGTGGCGGTATTCAACGATACAGTCCTAATAATAACATGCTCCAGGGTCGTGAAAGTGTCGGATTCAAAGTTAGTTTTGTCTTTAGGTAGGACCTTTTCCAGTAACATTTTAAGATTCACACAATCAGGGGGGCTTGCACCAAGTTGGTAGAGGGATCCAGTCTTACTAGCGGTGACACTACAACCGTCGGTTACTTTAAATGAAGTTCCGTCACTAACGGAACCAGACTGAAATTTCTCGAAGGTTGGAAGAGGTTGAAGTTCTGTTGGGAAAAAATATTTCTTGTTAAGAAGTTTTCAAATGAGGGTGTAAGTTGATAAGAGTGTAAGTTTACAAGACTTTCAATAAGTCAAACTGATCTAACTTACTGGAGAGCTCGGACCAGTTCTGAACTGTTCTCCTTTGAGGTCGAGTAAGGGTCATCTCTTATTTATCCAGTGTTACTACAGGTGGAAACCTAAACTAAACTAAATATATTTATACTGGATAGCTCTATCAGTTCTAAACTGTTCTCCCTAGAGATCCAGTAAAAGTCATTTCTTATTGATCCAGTGTTACTACAGGAGGAAACCTAAACTAAACTAACTTTATTTATATTGGATAGCTCTATCAGTTCTAAACTGTTCTTCCTAGAGGTCCAGTAAGGATCATCTCTCAATATTGATCCAGTGTTATTACAGGATGTAACCTAAACTAAACTAACTTTATTTATACTGGATAATTCTATCAGTTCTGAACTGTTCTTCCTAGAGGTCCAGTAAGAATCATCTCTTATTGATCCAGTGTACTATACAACGAACTGGACCCTGCGCCTGCGGTACTGAGTTGCAAGCATTCATCTCACATGTGAATGAAAATTATAATCAAACAACTGTAGATAATATTACCTGTTGTACCACCACCAGATGGAGTCCCTCCTCCAGTCCCGGTATTGCCGCCGCCGTTGGGTTCTACTGGAGTAACCGGTTCCACGGGATTAACCGGGTCTACTGGCTTAACCGGCTTAATTGGAACAGGGTTAACAGGGTTTGTAATTTCATTACCACCTCCATTTCCAGTATCGACACCACCGTCGGGTTTTACTGGCTTGACTGGAACAGGCTTACCATTCGGGCCTATAATTTCATATTCTGTTCCTTTGTTAGTACCACCAGGAAGAAGAATCACTTTGGTAGGTGCTGCATTACCATTAGGTTGTTCACCATTTCCTCCTGGAAGGGCAGGTTTTTTACCTGAGGGGAGGAGGATTTCGTTAGGGGATTTATTGTTATCCGTTTCTTCGAGTTTGCCGACCACTTTATACTGCCCTTTTACTTTAAGCTGTCCCTGGGTTCCTTTTTGTTGCCATACTTTATTCGAAGATTCCTCAACCCGTTCTGATCTTTTCGAGTTCGCTCCATCGCGAGAAATCCCGTCCGCACTTACATGACGTTTCAAAATGTGTTTATACCGGTGAAAGCCGTGGTGATGCGGGCGCGGGAATGAGCCATGCCTAGCTCCATGCTCTCGAGCATAGCCAGAACTTAACAGCACAAACCCAATCAAACAAAGTACTTTAAAAATTGCCATGTTTAGTAACACAGCCAAGTTGCCGCTCTAGTTAACTGCAGTAACTCTGGGTGAATTAGCATATTGCGCACCGTTATATACGCGCGCTCTACGTTGGGGTTTTTCAAAGCGCTTGTGGCCACTATATTCAACTGCTGGTTGCGGTTATGTTAGCATCAGTTACCAGTAGGATGCTGAAACTATACTACTGGTTGTATGGGCTAAATAATGCATCGTTTGAATCTAAATCGACTAGATTTTATACTATATTGATAAATTTAGTATAGCTCATTTATAACGAATTGAAAAAATCATTTTCATATCATTATAATCTATCATGATTATCAATATGACATTATTATATAGTTGTGATCATGGATAATAGTTGTCATCACCAATAAAGGAATATTGATTACAAAGTGTTTAAATTCTCTATTTTCTATTATTCGATATTCATTCTGTTTCCATGAGAGAAATTGCTTGACTCGGAATTGTTTTGATTGAAAATTAATTCTAAACGATTGTAGTTTTTTGGAGTTAAATTTTTGAATACTTTATGGTGCATGCACAGTAAAAAAAGGTTTTAGCACAAACAGGTCGCTCGTAAAAAGAACAATACAAATACAAGTTAGAAACAGCACGATACAAAAAGCTTTGACTTTGTTCTTTCAAATTATTTTGAGTTTTCAAATTACAATGATTCTATGTAAATATATCTATATTACCATATATATGTATATATGTTTCCATTATATCTTCTATAACAAATATTTATGAAAGAATTAACTGAAATATTTTTTGTGTTTTGGTAAGAATTACATTTAAAAACTATCATATTCATCTCAATTTAAATCAGATACCTAACACTGTAGAAGCATAAAAGATGGCCAACTTTGTAGCTATAAAAAAAACTCCCAACTTAATTCTTCAAGTCATATAATGTGAAAGATCTAATTAATACAAATAATTTTGTAAAAAAACACCCAGTAAACATTCTACAGAATAAAAAAGTACTCAATACCAGGGTTTTAGTATCTCTGCTTTTTTAACATAAATCATTTGACTATAAAAATTGCCAGATGAAGTCATCATATTCCATTTTGTATTGTCATTATACAAGCGTATACTGTAGCAGTTGAAACGGATGAAATAGAAACATAGTGTAAATTAGTAAGAAATTCGAGAAGTTAACAATTTTAACAATTTGCAACAGCAAAAAAAAAATGGTTTGACAAATATTTAAAGCTCGCTAAATCACGCGTGTCACGCTTGAGTGAAAATCATCCTTTGGCTTGTTTGTAACATAGCATGGAACATATTGTAACCGTTTTAAAATATTTAAACATTCAGTGGGGGTTCTTTTCAACCTGCTCTATTCAATGACTGGAACCACTTTTTGGTGGAGCAACTGTTCGTACTGTTAAATTTAGTTGCAATTATTTTATTTTATAGAAAGTAACTAGAAGAAAATGGAGAAGTCCGTGGAACCTTTATCATTTACCTTCAATTTTTCACACAATATATTTTATGAAAGCTAAAATCTTCAGTTAAGGAATCATACACTATAAATAGAATGAGTCTATAACAGGATTTGTTTGCACGACACATTAACACATACAGAATTAAATACATAAAGCATAGCTACTCAACTTACAAACTCAATTTGCTTCTCATATAATTAGCCTAAACAAAATTAAAGTCTATTGGCTATTTAGTCTAACCATTCAACTATATTGTTACAATTTTGCCAACAAAAGTTAGTACCTTAATTAAACACTTATTTTACCAACAAATGTACCTTTTAAAGGACATTGATAAAAAAATAGTTTGTCTCATTCAAAAGAACTCGTAAGATTACATATTAAACTCTATTACCGATTTGTCATATCTTGCTTAGTTCTCGAAATATTTAAACCGAAATTAATGAGCTTTCCGCCATCTTGGACTAATTCTTGACCTCATTAACTGTGGTTTTGATGACGTCAGGAGTTGGGTTAACCATATAAAACTACTCTAAAATGACCAAGTAACAATCCAAAATTGTTTGAAATGTTTTTAATCATTGCTAATAAAAAATTAGCGTGACCCCTCTCTTGACGTAACATGCATATCCTCAATAATCCAAGATGGCGAACAGCTCACTTCTTTCAGTCGAAATATTTTGCAAACTAAGCAAGATATAAACAATCTGTAATGGAGTTTAATATATAGTTTTAAGAGTTCTTTCAAATGAACTAAACCAATTTTTTATTGCCAATGTCCTTTAATCTTAAAGTCTTGGTAAAAATTTTAGAAAATAATCCGTCCAGATATAATCCTTGTATAAATCATTGTATCTTGATCCATGCAATCATTTAAAGAAAGAAAAAAAATTCGTGGAACTTCATGGAATATACGGAAATATATAAAGAAAAAATCTACACCGTAAAGGTAGAGTAATACGAGCAACACTAGAAAATTGCTGCAACTTGCAACAAAATCTGATTTCAACGCATGTTAATTGCAAATGTTTACACATAAATTACAAATCACAAGGCAACATGTGTCGACATTTCTACTTCACATGCATTGAAATCAGATTTTGTTGCAAGTTGCAGCAATTTTGTTCAGTGCTCGTGAAACTCCAGCTTAAAGTTCGACAAAGCTCTGAACAACTATATCAGTAGTTTTAATTTTTATGATCCAATCTTCGTAAAGCTTGGGCTAGATTCTCGTCTCGTCTGGGTCTCCTGCAGGTATATGTTGTTTTTGCCTCATATAAACAGTGGACGAAAATGACAGGGAAAATATTACTTCAAATGTTTCTTAAGATATTGAGATACGTGACCCCCTACATGCCAGACGAATTTGGTTTTATTATAGTCGATTTTTGATGTGATACAAGTAAACCAATGGCAATGGCTTTGCATGTTTTAAAAACAACGAAACGATAGATTTTGAAGCAAATTTACAGTTGCGTGTCTAACAACGAAAGCTTGTTGTTTTCGACTGCATGCCTCACTGACACTGGTTCTCAACCAATACTGAAGCTAGCGAATACAAGTATTTCACGAGAGTTTCAGAATATTTCGCGCCTTTTCAAAAGTCCATGATGAACGCGGTGTCTAGGTTAATCACTAAGTTACTATGAAAGTTACTACGAACCAGGCTGCTCATTTTAAGAAGGCTTTTTAGCAAGAATTAGCTAAATAAACTTATATAGTCGAAAAATCTCAACACTGTTTTCGACTGAACGCTCGATTGCTTGGCGAACAATATCGTAGTAGGAGTGGAAAATTCATTCGTCGCTAGCTTCGTGGCCAGCTTTGTGATTAAGGTTTAAATTGCTACCACCAACAGAGAGGCATTGAAATCGCTTTAAACATTCACACAACGAATCGGATAAACATTTTTTCATTAAAAATATAATATTCGAATGTAGAAAACTCTAGACAATACGAAATTTCAACCAATATAAACAGCTATTTACATATATTCAAATACGGCGGAAAAACTATGCTATATACAGTATGATATATATAGGATACGAATGAATTGTCACAATTTCATATTAATTGATACAACTTTATGTAATACAAACTATATCTTTACACCTTTTAATTTACGGTATTTAAGCGTTGATTACTGCGAGTCAAATGAATAAATGATCGATTGTAACTATAGAACAATAAAATGGAAAGGTCTAGAAAAATCCATTATAAAAGCATTAATTTATGTATTGGTTTGACCTGCCTGTCGATGTAACTAAACTCTGTATTCTATTTCAAACGTGGGAATCTGGTGTAGGTAGTATTTTACATTATAAGCTGCAAGGCGTGTGCCTGAATTAGGGGCGAGGGGCCTTTTGTCAAGATGACAAGAGACAGGGCTTCGTTTGGAAACATCAAAATGTTTGATCAGATAATTCAGACATAAACCACGGCAGTTTAGTTCCTGAAAGCATTTTAGCTCAAACGCCAAATTTCATATATAAAGTGGAACAATTTCTACCAGGCAAAAGAGAACACTCCAAAATATTTTTGAACAAAATCAATCCATCGAACCAATACAAAATTAATTTCAAATATCCCTTAGCCTAACTACATAATGTAACAACTACTGTGTCTATAGTGATATTAACGTCTCTCTTCAAATCCACCTTACGAATTGCCGACAGAGTCCGGAATGTATCAATTTATCTACGGTCTTGCATGCACGTTTGCCATTATCAGGGGGCGCCGACTTGGACTTCAAGTAACGAGTATGCTGTTCGTTGTCTAGAATAAGATCGTTAGGCTTTTCCACCTCGGAAAACGAATGAGAACGGATACGTGTTATCGTCTTAGGCTTCGAAATATCCGTTCTCACGACATTGTTCAACTCGCATGAGGTATCTGAGGAATTGTAAACAGATTTGGAGCTTAGCAGTTGGTGGTTGTCAACACTTCCCTTCACCTTTGACGCGAGTTCGCTTTGTTCCCTTGCCCCTTCAATAATATTGCCATAATTTTCTTTAGTATTGCTTTTAAAATTTTCAGAGTTTATCACACCAGTTAAAGTCTTCTTCGCTCCCTCAATAGCCGCCAACCAGGCGGTCCTGTCCTCCAAACTTGCACAATACAAAAATACTTGTTGTTCTCCGTTCACAATTTTCCAAGGGAACCGTGTGAGATTATGATTACAATCAACAGAACTCTCTCCACTGCATTCATCGTTCGTATAGTCATTAATATCAACTACAAGTTCTTCTAGTTTCAGTAAACCAAGCGGAGTATGTCTTTTGTGGACTTTCCTTCGATGAAAACATAAGGTATTCGGTTTCAAAACACAATACAATACTTCAGCTTGTCCATGAAGCTTTTCCTCTCGGTATACATATCCTTCTCGAAGAATTGTCTTAGATTTATCCATCTTTAGTAACGCTATTCTATACAATGTACTGTTTCCTAGTTTATATTCACCGTAGCTCAATCCCTCGTCGCGTCCACGAGCGTGCGTTGGCTTGCTCAAACGCGTAAAGTGATATTTAATACCGCCAAGAAAATGATACTGTTTATCTAATACTTCCTAATCTTGACAAGTAGATATTTGTGGATGCAATCTCGTACGCTCTCGAACTATGCCAGAAATGCCATTTTCCAAAACCGCAAGAAAAGCGCAAAATTATTAGAATATCGCTCGAATATTCCAGCTATATAATCGTCTTTCACAGCATAGCCCTATGGCAGTTCGTTGCTGTGAGAAAAATGCAAATTTTCCTCAAAGTTGCAATTTACACACTCAGCAGGAATCGGCGTGTAATAATGAATTAACCAATGGTTACGAGGCCAAATATTGCTCCATCAATAAGCTATATACGAGTAAATATTACCCTGCCAAGTGGATAATTATGTTAAGAATCGAAACTCAATGTTTAGCGTTGCAGAGAATGTCAAATATTAGTCTGACGCGTGTTTTGCTCGCCGTTTCCGATTTAAATTCCTGCATACAAAATGAAAATAAAGGCTGAATAATGTGTGTGGGTGATTAGGTTCTTAATGACTCCTCAAAATTGAGATTTGTGGCAGAAGGCGGTGACATTGGATTATAAATTATGTTTGTGAGATTCTAGAAGAGTGTTTATGTTGAGGATAGATCTAACATATGGAAGAAGTTTGCACTGCATTACACATTACTTGAAGCTATTAAGTACTTAATCCCGAAGTGATTCTAGTCTATACAATTCGTTAACATGCCCAGACCTGCGTAATGAGACACTTTGGTTTGAAATTGTATCTGAGCAGATCTCAAGTAGGATCCACTACACTTCCAAACCAACTCATTCAAAGTCAAACGACATGTAAAAGTGTTCCAGCTACCTATTTGGACTTTGAACAAAACGTTTCTGCACGTGTGCAAACATGCCTGATCGAAGGCTTGTCGAATTTTAACTTGGAAAGATATAAATTGCGCGCTCTGGTGCCAGGGAACGCAAAACGTCCTGTTTCGCTTCGCATAAACCGCGTAGTTGAACATTTCCAGGCGTATCAATGTTTATACAATGCGACTGACGTGAAATTATAATCAGACAACATCAAACCTCCCCTTCCGGGATACCAGATTGTTCCACGGGGCTGGCTTCTACACAAAATTCCCAACATATCTTTACGTTTCTAATGGGTCCAAACTCGATTCTTCCAGCAGGAAAAACAAGTCGTTACGGCTTCAATAGTGCGGAAAACGATTTTGCGCGATAGAAATGAAAAATAATTGTTTGCCAAGTTTATATAAGGTTTCAAAGGATCCCCAAACAATTAACGGTCATTAAATTTTGAAATAAGTTTTGTTGATCTGTTTACATTATACAGCTTAACGGGCCAAGACGAGACGGTATTTTGATTCATGCAAAACTTTATCTATTGCATACTGGATAGCTCTATCAGGTTTAAACTGTTCTCCCTAGAAGTCCAGTAAGGATCATCCCTGATGCATACACGCGCAAGTACAAATTTTTTTAATTATCATAATTTGTCAACAAAACTGCGAAGCGCAAAAACACGTGTTAAAATAATAATTAAAAATTTATCATCAACTTGTGAGACTAATTTTGTTTTGAAAGCCACAAGTGCTATCTTAAGGGCAAAGCGATATAGACTAAGAAGCTGTCGTGATTTTTGTCCGAACCAAAAGACTAAAAATATTTGGACCTTTCTGGAGCGAATGGCCTTCGCCTTCGGCCGAAAATAATTTAAAAAACTTTCTCTGAGTTTCACAGGTAGTTCAAATAAAAACTATTGCTTATATCGGACACCCATGACAGGCGTAGCGAACTACATATTGTAAATTCCATTGTTATCGCTTGAAAATAAAACTATTTTTGAGCCAAAACCTCTCCAAAGCACGCCTACCATTAAACGGAAATTTAGCCAATTTCCGCCAATTCTGCATGTTTGTCATTTTCTGAGAACAATATGCTTTGCTTTCTCAAGAGATGAAAAAATAGAAGAAATCGATGATGGTATAATCGAACTAATTTTTCGAGTAAGCATTAATCGTGTGATAATCAATCATACCTATCGTCGCGATACAATGTTTAATTAAAAGCGGGGGTCCAGTGTAGGTAGTATTCTACATAACAATAAGCGGTCGAGTGTCGTGGTTTGTGTCTGAACTATCTGAAAAAGATATCTCAAACGTGGTGGTCCAGTGTAGGTAGTATTCTACAATAACCTGTCGTGGTTTGTGTCTGAACTACCTGAAAAAGATATCTCAAACGTGGTGGTCCAGTGTAGGTAGTATTCTACAATAAGCTGCCGTGGTTTGTGTCTGAACAACATGAAAAAGATATCTCAAACGTGATGGTCCAGTGTAGGTAGTATTCTACAATAAGCTGTCATGGTTTGTGTCTGAACCAGCTGAAAAAGATATCTCAAACGTGGTGGTCCAGTGTAGGTAGTATTCTACAATAAGCTGCCGTGGTTATATCGGCTCCGAACAGAAACACGCCAATTTACTTTAATTAAACGCCCCGGGATGTATATTGGTTTGAAAATGAGTTAAATTCATAACATTTTACTGTGCACATCTCCTGTCAATCATTGAAGAACAGTAGAACACTATAAGGTATTTACATGAAGTATTACTCAAGGCTAAAGCAGCGGTTTTGTGCGGACTCATAAATGAGAATCCGTAGATTCGCCCGCCTTTTGGGTGTTTACATCAACGGGTGGACTGTCTCCTACGCAGGCTATATTGCAATCATTGATACACAGGGTTGTATAGGGTTGCATTATTCATCAAACAATCTTAACCCACTTTATCCAATAATTACCCTGATCGTATCTAAACACGAAACCGATGCCCTAAACATTCTTAATTATCCTCAAATATCACGCAATACTTATACTTAGTCTTCCGCAGAAAGAAAATTTTGTAAAATGTGATTGGCCGCGACACAAATTTTCTGTCCGCGGAAATTTTTCTTCAGTGGAAATGGCCTTTCGTAGATCACAATATTCTACAGTCTTAGACAGTATACTTTAGGACAATCAAGTTTTTACATACATTCAGATGTATCATGAATTTTGCCATTTTGGATACATTTATTCCATCATCCCTCCCCCACCCGTTTCAGTGTTGGTCTGGCGAACAGGCATTGGTTTTCACAACATTACATTACATACTTTATTGTGTTCCCTGAAGAAGGATTTTCAACACTGATTTACAATGAATAAAGTGTTCTTCTATTTACAAGTTTTAGAATCTAAAATTTAAATTAACAAGGTAAATTATCTACTTATATATTTGTTCCAACATGCTTCGCTTCAGTTCAGGCTTGGCTTCATGCAGTTGGTGTTAAAAGTTTTTAGCGAGTTTAATTTTTTGTACTTAATGTCAAAATCGTTCCAGAATGTATAATGCCTCTATGCTGGAAGACCTTTTCATCATTTCAACATACAATATAGTATAAACTGTCCCACAATTTTCGGCAAATATTATATAACTATAGTTCGTCTGGATAGGTTGAGTTGACACTGAGACGTTTCCGTCCTGACACACGTTTCTTTCACACGCTCAGAGCAACTTAGAGCACATAACATATACAACTATCCAGTAAAAAGTTAGTTATAATTTAGTTTTCGCCTTACAGTGGCCTAGAGTAATAAAAGATGTCAGTTCTAAACTTCTAGAGCTATCCAGTACAAATAAATTTGATTTAGTTAAGTCAGTTTTAATTGTGCCGGTTTGGCCCTTTTCGAATGACGTTTGAGAGCAAGAAGCACGTATCCATCTTCCCAATCCTTCCTGAAAAAGGTTAAAGGTCTTAAAGCTTCTTTTCAACATCTTGGGGAACTGCGTATAGAGGAACATAGTGTGGGCTAAAAAAAATCTCGGAAGCCCAAACCCGTCTGAAAGTTTTAAAGCTTCCATTGCTTCCATTCTGCGTCACAACTCTCTGTAATATCAACCCACGCAGTGGCGTGTACCCTATAGTGGACAATATTTGGTATACAGCCAATTCAAAAAAGGTCAGTTCGTTGCAAAACTAAACCTTAAACCTTAAACTCTAAGCGCGCAAAGCTAACGGGAGCACACGTTTCAAGCTTGGTAGAATGGTAGTTGAATATTGCAGCTATTTGTGAATGATTTCGTAAGGAGATATTTACCATGTCTCTAAAAAAGACGGTTTAATAAACTGCTGCAAATCATGACTGTGAAGGAGACTTGTATATCTGATACAAAATCCTTCAGATTTACATAAACTTTAAGTTCCATTTTCCTCACCAAATATCATTCATGTGTTTAAGACTTTTGAAGACTACGAAGGTTTTCATCAAAACTAAATCATGAACTACATACAGGCTATATTTGGGTCATGTATGCGTATATGCTGTATATATTTTTTAAAATACGAGACAGAAACATAACCACCTTCCCCCTGTTCAATGCGACTGTTTAATAGTTGGATCGAAACAAATATTGGCAAGATAAGCATGGTTGAATGCATTTCCTCTTCGATATTTGCCCATTGACGCTTCAGAGAATAGCGCAAGTGTTCGAAAAGTTGGACAGAAATAGGTTTTACAGAAATGTAGTGTGGCAGTGCTTCCATTTACCTAATTTGAGCATACGTACACCCACTGACACCATGGGGGGAGAGAAGGTTACAAGGCACTATGTTAATTCCATTCACTTTCCCACAGGAAAACAAGTATGTATTGAGCTGTGTCATGGTTACTTAGAGACAGACCAGTTTCTCCTTAGGGGTCGTTCATTCATCCCAGGAAGGACTTGTGTAGAAGCATTTGCATTATAGACTAAATTTTGATCTAGACAAAAATTTCATCACAGCTTGAAAGAGCATCACAAAATTAGTAATATTCCAAAGTTTCGTTGCGAAATGTTGTAAAATGTGGATAATATAGCCTTGCGCAGTTTGCCGTTTTTCAGTCATTTTGTATTACGCACGGAAAAGTGACAGCCCATACGGGTGTTGGGGCATCAATTTCCCGTGTGTAATACAAAATGACTGAAAATTGCAAATTGCGCATGGCTATATTATCCGCATTTTACAACATTTCGTAACGAAACTTTGGAATATTACTAATTTTATGATACTCTTTCAAGCTGTGATGAAATTTTTGTCTAGACTTGTCTAGATCAAAACTTAGTCTATAATGCAAATGGTCCATTAACTTTCCCTAAATTAACTTTTTTTCTCAAATTCCACTCTTGTGCATCATCTTTTTTTATCTGCCACCCCCTTCCCCCCTCCCCAGAATATCTATCATCTAATGGGCCACCCCTGAAAAACGGGCTTACAGTGTGACTTTACCGAACACCACAAGATTCTTGTGGATCAGTAAGGGATGGCTCTTACTGGTCTCTAGCGAGAACAATATAGGACAGATAAACTCTATCAAGTATAAATAAAATTAATTCTATTTAGACTCAGTCAATATAAGATTGTTTACGTCTTATACATTGAACACGTGGCCCACTCGTGCGGAAGAAGGAACCACTTTGAACTTGGCACGAAGACGTGATGATCTTGCACTTTTATAGATAATGACTTCCGAGACGGGTACTCATTAAGAATAATTAGCCTTTCAGTTAATGACTGATTCAGGCAACCTGAAAGTTATATTAAGAAAATTGGCCTAATTTTGAACTGTCTCAGTTTTGATCTGAACTTCCTGCAAGAGATAGGGAAAACTTTTACTCGACTTCATTTTCCAGACGGAAATGTCGACGTTTAGACACAAACCATGCACGGCTACTTATTGTAGATACCTACACTGGACCACCACGTTTGAGATATTTTTTCTGGTAGTTCAGACACAAACCACGACAGCTTATTGTAGAGTACTACCCACACTGGACCACTACGTTTGAGATATCTTTTTCAGGTTGTTCAGACACATACCACGACAGTTTATTGTAGAATACTACCTACACTGGACCACCACGTTTGAGATATTTTTTTCAGCTATAGTTCAGACACAAACCACGACAGCTTATTGTAGAATACTACCTACACTGGACCACCACGTTTGAGATATCTTTTTCACGCAGTTCAGACACAAACCACGACAGCTTATTGTAGAATACTACCCACACTGGACCACCACGTTTGAGATATCTTTTTCACGTAGTTCAGACACAAACCACGACAGTTTATTGTAGCCTATTGTAGAGTTTTGCATAAACTTCAACAGGTAGATTGGGCTACGCTGTTAACACATTGAGTGCCAGCGCTCTCCCCTTAACAAGTAAAATCGTCTGGTGTTAGACAGAGTAAAATAAGAAACTAGGACGCATTGGGGGCTTGGGGCGCAATGACAATGTGGTGCTCCTGTGTAGGTATAGTATTCTAGAATAAACTGTCGTGGTTTGTATCTGAACTACCCGAAATAGATATCTCAAACGTGGTAGCTCAGTGTGTAGGTAGTATTTTACAATAAACTATCGTGGTTTGTGTCTGAAAACTACTTGAAAAAGAAAGTTCGTATTTGTCTAAATGTCATCATATAGGATCATGGACGTTATTCCATGAGAAGTAAAGTATTTCAGATGATACGACATGAAATATGACGAAAAAGGTTTGCCCCTCACATTTAATCACCTTAACACGTGACGTCAATGAAGTAATTAGAGAAGTCAAAAGTTAAACCACTTTCAATGATATAATTCACGACGCTCACGAAAACACGCAAAAATCGTAAGGATAATTACACTGACACTTTTAAACTTATTTTCCAACTAGCTATAATTACAAAACAACTTTATTTACACTGATAACTAACTGTTCACCCAAGATGTCTAGTAAGGGTCATCTATTATTGATCCAGTGTAGTAATACAGGAAGAAACCTAAACTAACTTTACTTCCACTGGATAGCTCTATCAGTTCTAAACTGTTCTTCCTAGAGGTCCAGTGCATGAGGGTCATCTCTTATCGATCCAGTGTTACTACAGGAAGAAACCTAAACTAAACAAACTTTATTTATACTCGATAGCTCCATCAGTCCTAAACTATTCTTCCTAGAGGTCCAGTAAGGATCATCTCTTATTGATCCAGTGTTACTACAAGAAGAACCTAAACTAAACTAACTTTATTTATACTGGTTAGCTCTATCAGTTCTAAACTGTTCTCCCTAGAGGTCCAGTAAGAGTCATCTCTTGTTGATCCAGTGTTACTACAGGAGGAAACCCAAACTAAACTAACTTTATTTATGATGGATAGTTCAGGATCAGTTCTAAACTGTTTTTCCTGCTGTTCTTCTAAGAGCCATCCTTATATTAGTGTTGATACAAGGTTATAATATAAAGCCAAACTGTCCAAACTAAGTAATTCCAAGTTCAGCCATGAAAAGTAAAATTATAAACCTACAGACTGATAAGGTATTTTCTAAAATACATGTACCTAAAAGCGAGCTAGATTCTTTCATATATCATACTATATTTTATTAAGGCATAGCTCTTACAAAGCAGAAATAATATGGCAGTCCAAAGATTTGGTATTACAACCAAATACATATTGTAATATTGCTTGAACTGGCAAATTAAATATTTAAACTACAACAAAATATAATTTCATATAAGGGAAGTTTACGTAAAGTTTAAATATGACCTGACCGAATACTTTAAATAAAAGAATTGGTTAAAATCTTTGATACATAAAGACTTGAAGACAAAGAAAACTACAAAAATTAAATCTGAAGGCAGCCAGACCAATTTATACAGCGGAATATATTTGTGTGTGCGGTTAGGGAATACAAACGATATTGGCTTATCCGCTCGTGACGTCATTGCATTGCCTTTGTTAATTACATTCTCAAAACACGACAATTTTCTGCCTTATATAATATCATTTAAAGTTCAGGTTATATACTGTGGGAATACGTTTTGTACGAACACATCAGGCGTAGATTGGTATTTTGCTATAGTATAGCCTTAGAAACTTGTTTTTGAAGAGTTCCTTTATATGGAAAGGTTATTCAAGCACATTTTCCTTTGGCGTGAGTATCCATGTCTCATTATCAATATTCACTTCAGTAATACAAAATGTCGCGGCTCGATTAGCAAACTGCCCATATTCGCTTATATTATCGGCAGGGGTCTATTACCACAAGCCCTCTTACTTAAACCAAACTAATTATCGGGCAAGGCTCGTTTTAAAAATTTAACTAAATCATATTTGTTGATGGGAAAACCTACAACTAATCCTGCCGGAAAGTTTGGCGAATTTGCATTATGACACCAGGAAACACGTTTGACGGTACAGGGAAATCCCTCTTTGGATACATACGCCTACTTTGATGTCATAACGGCCGTCAGCTGGCAAATATTCTATACAACTGGTCGTAGAGAAAAGTCATTAGTTTTGAAGCGAAGGCAGTTGGCTGCAGTAATTTGTATTCATTATTAATTATTAGCGGGTTTTGACAGTGGGAAAAAAGCATGTTCATCAAGTTTTAAACACTAGCTCGCGTATAGCGGTGTTTGGAGAGTCTGTATACAATAAATAAACGAAGGATAAAGGCAGTATTACGTTGGAAGACGACGAACTGAGATACGTTTAAATACTCAGACAGAAGTAGGCGAGGAATTGTAAAGATAATTGCGAAGAACACTGGTTCTACCATAAAGGGAGAGCGATCTCTTGTCGGCAAACGTTGAGGGTTGTATAAAAAACTGTTCGCGATAATTCCCAGAGATTCGCGGTTTTATTAGGAAGAAGTAGGCGAGGAATTGTAAAGATAATTGTGTGAAAAGTCGCTCGATCCTTATAAAGGGACATTTCAATTTGGCACGTTTGAAGATTTCGGTCGAGACGTATAATTTGCGTGGGATATAGAGTCTGGTTACTCCCCATGCATGTCAGTACTTAAATTTTCAGAGATACTCAGAATTTGGCATTGATAAACAGCTGAGAAAGAAACGGCTGAACTATACATTTCAGTGAAGAATACATTCGAATATTGAAGGAGCATTGAAGTGATAGCCAAACAGAAACTCATCGAATCTGAAACAGTGCTATTAGCGAAAGAACGAAACATTATTGGACAGTTCGCAGTTCACGTCATCGGTCGAAGTACATCGAAGATTTTTGTTACTGTTGAAATTGAACCGTGAAAGCGAGAGGATTTGTACTTGTAGACACTTATTTGTTGTTGTTGCACAAGACCGGAATTTTCTTCTGGGAAGTAACATAGGAATTTTCCGTCTGCATTTATTCGAAAGCATTTGAAAGTTGAATAGATTTGGAAACGGATTAGTTCAACCGCTAACAAGTAATATAAGACTTGGCTTGAATATCGGAGACGTACTTAAAAGAATCTTCAAACCCAAAACATTCAAAATGGACTTCAATGGTAAAATAGAAATATTCAAAGAAGGCTCCGTTGTCTCGCTTGGACAAAACATGTTCAGTTTACCAAAATTACTGTGGTTTTCATTGCGTTCGACTGGCTTGTTTTATTCAACACGAGAACGAGGCGAAGAGAAAATGCGTTATCCAGAAAGCATGATCGAGTTCGACTCAATGTTCGTCCGAGTCGAGAAATTGGACGACGAGAACTCGAGATTTACTTACAAGAATGATAAAATTGATGTGTACTGTTTGCGAGTTGGAGACAAACGCAAATGTAGGATGCTGTGCTTTACGAGTTGGGAGGAACGAGATTTCTGGGTTATCGCCATCCTAACGGCAATCGCACAGTACAAGATCTTGGGAACTCCGAATCCACAATCTGAATTATGCGGTAAGATACGTTACGGCACGGCTGTCTCGACACTTCGGGCGACTCGTACGGGGAAAAGTGGATCCACCAGCAGCGCAAGATTGGCGAGAAATAGTCTTCGGAGATCGTTTCGAAAGAAATTCGGATCGCTACGATCGCGAAAGTCCGTGCGCGACTCAAGGGGTGATTTGAACGAAAACGTATACAGCTCCTCCACGTCTGATGTGTTTAGCGATGCAAACACGGAGAACTATAAACCGGTTTCACCGAGTGGTAAAATCGAGGACGCTGGAAGTTCGAAAGGATTTTTCAAATCTGGATGGGACGTGATACGAAGACGACCATCCCAGTTGAGTCGAACTGGCAGTTTGAAAATGTGAGTCGTGTTGTCTGTTATGAACACATGACGTTTTTGACAGTTTTAAGCTATCGTCAAAGCTGAGGGAACTTAAATGAGATACATCGAATCCGTAGACACGGTTAAAGACTAAAGGAACATTGGTTTTTTGGCCCCCAAAAGACTAATTCGGACTGATATAACACTAATAGACATTAATTGGACATAATTTTGAACTTTGAAAGTTTTGTACGTCAAACCGAAAGGAACTGAATTGTAATACATTGAATTGTTAAAGTATAAAAAAAGCTCGGGCTTTTTGGGGCCCAGAACTTTTTCTGACCGATATAACAAAGACTAGACATTTATAACATAAGTTATAACCCTGTAGGAGCTAATTTCGGACTACAGTTCAAAACATTTTGCTATCCCTGAAATTTGTGAAGTTCCGACGTATAGGGAAATGGGAATAGTTGAGAAACGTGGCCATATATGCAAAGCCGTTTTCCGGACCGATATTGTACGACTAGACATCGACATAAATTAGTGCAAGATGTTTCTTTGGGCAAAGTAACGTGTTGTTTGGAAACTGAAACAAATTCAAAAGCATTGAAGAACTTTGTAAATAAAATGTACAAACTTGCGGATTTAGAAACGTTTAAGTTTCACTTTCGCTTTGAAACAAAATTTCAATATGATTTCCTGTTTTTCACACTAAGTTTATAAAGGGACACTTCAAAAGGGGCAGTTCTATGTCCCAAATTGAACAAGTTTTGAAAACATAACCAATTTAGGAAACTATATAGAAAGGTTTTTATAGGCGTTCTCGAAGTCTAGATACAATATCTACAACAATTATATAATCAGATTGTAAGATTAATGATGTAACATTATTTTCGTTGTATCAGTACAATTAAATTGTACTATATTTTCCATTTCAAAATTTACGCGAAGATAAAACATAGTTTACGAATCCCCAAAGGTCACAGGCAGATATACCATATAGAATAAAGCTTAATGGAAAAGCTGTTTTCTATATAATGTATTTTGAACTAAGCAAAAACCGTAGTGTAAGACAAATGTATAGATTCCTTAATATAATAGCTTTATTTAATTAAATAGATATTTATATTGTTGTAATAATAAATAATATTAATTTGACACGCTTGAAAGCAAGAGTTTCTCTAAGCATATTTTTGTGTAAATATATTTCTCATGTTAAAATTATTATCGTAAAAATAATAAAAAATTTGGATGAAAATTCAAATTGTCTGATCGTGGCTTTGTTTTGTCTGAGCATGGATAGTCTGAGATAAGGCTTATGGTATAAGTTATTTTAGTGTATATTTTATTAATATTTGATATCTTTCGTTCTTCAAGGTCAAAATATGATTTAGTAGACAGATATTTCTTTAGAAAATATAAATTTAAGTTGTGTTTTTCATCTCCTATCTTCTTCTTATTTAGCAATTCCGAAGTTGACGAAGGGACTGGAACCGAGTGTTAAAATTAAATTATATACCGGGTGTCCCAAAAAAAAGTACTCCGGTTTGATTTATAATAACTTCTAAACAATTAAAGCTATATCTAACAGAAATACTTGCATTAAATAGAGGAAGGACTAACTTAGATTTTGATATATTACAGTTGTATTTTACTTAAAAATTCACGGAGATATTAATGTTCAAAATCGGGAGCATATTTTGGTATGTGTCTAAAATTAGCGAAAATCGGCATATCAAATATTAACTCCAGCGTTTGTTTGATTAATGACATATCAGGCTAACTGGTATTTCAGCGAATTGTCGTTCGGGTTTGTAAGGGATATGGCGTAGATTAAGACATCTTACATGTAAGTCTTAGCTCATTGTTTCCTGAAATATGAACGTTCAAAATTATGAAAGTATTTAATTGGTCTTTGGCTTTGCAAACTTAAAGGTACGGCGCAAACTTGAAGGCAGGCGCTTAAATTTTTCTTAAATAGCCTAATTTTTTTATGTTTTACATGGGTTCAAAACAAAGTTGATTATTTCTCGGTTAGAGCAGGATGAATATTATTATTTAATGAAGGAAATAATATTGCTTTTTGCAAATACACATCACAGTATTAACGCTACTATTTTGTTACGTTTTGTTCCAAAAATGTTGGATGTCTCTGGGGAGTTGCTTGTTATGTCTTTAATTATGGAGTTGTATGGTTTGATCGTGTTTCATTCTCAGTTTATTCTGAACTTGCCAAGATTAAGAAAGGCAAAAGAGTTTGGGTGTTCTTAACACGATTTCAGAACGTTGCAGAAGTTAGAAAATTCATTCAATGTGAGATTAGAAAATTCGCAATTCCATTGTGACAGCATGCCCTAATTCAGAACTACGAACGATCCATGACGATCCTTCGCGATGCAGTGGTCTCATGAAATAATTAAGGAAACGTATTCGTGCTGGGAACATATGCGGATTTCGGACGAATAAATCTTGCTTTTATTTTGTAGATAATAATACTTTGTTTCATAATAAACGATTTGTCAAGTGTCATTTATTTACTGGTAATAGTGCATGTTTCAGTCGGGCAACTCTTGATTAATATTTGATACGCCGTTTTTTGCATATTTCAGACACATCCAGAAATATGCTCCCGATTTTAAACATCAATATCTCTGCGAATTTTTTAGTGAAATACAACTGTAATATATCAAAATCTAAGTTAGTCATTCCTCTATTTGATGCAAGTTATTTCTCATTAAAAGCTTTACTTATTTACAAGTTATTACGAATCAAACCGGAGTACTTTTTTTTGGGACACCCGGTATAAGTAGCTACAAATTGCCTCAACGAAAACACATCGAATCTTAATGTTGCTTTTAGGACGTGTACTTCAAGACTACTATACCTACACTGAGAACCAACAGTTTGAAGTTTAGACTAGTGAGAATCTACCACAAAGGACGTGTATTTCAAGACCACTACCTACACTGAGAACCAACAGTTTGAAGTTTAGACTAGTGAGAATCTCGGCCACAAAGAACGTGTATTTCAAAACCACTACCTACACAGAGAACCAACAGTTTGAAGTTTAGACTAGTGAGAATCTACCATAAAGAACGTGTATTTCAAGACCACTACCTACACTGAGAACCAACAATTTGAAGTTTAGACTAGTGAGAATCTACCACAAAGGATGTGTATTTCAAGACCACTACATACACTGAGAACCCGCAACAGTTTGAAGTTAAGACTAACGCTTCCTCCGAAAAGTTATATTATATAGTCAATACAAAAATTCTAAACATCTTTTATATTTTAAATAAGGAAGAAAATTCCTTGCTAGCAAAGATATTTTAAATATTTTAACTTCTTTACATATTTCATTCGCCATAAAGTCAAGTGTGCGGTTAATATCGGAAGCTCATTTCCTTAAGAGTTTGCTAAAAACAGAGGAAGCCCTCGTGTTCAATATTAGACCGTTGGTTAAATTAACACATGCACCAACTGGAAAACAAAACTCTTTTATTTTCCAGTTTTTTAAGACTCTCACTTCTGAGTTCTGGCTATGAAACTTGTCAATAAAATAACAAAATACTCGACAATGTTAAAAAATGCTTTTTTAACTTCTGTCTGGTTAAAATCATCCTATCTATTACAAAACATTCCCCCCCCCCCCACACTTTCTTCATATAAATGTTGGGTCCGAAAGAAAGGTGCAATCTTTCTGGTTACTTGTAGGTTTGCTTATCGTGATAAATAACTATTTATTTGGAAAACACCAAGTTTGTTTTACGTCGTAAAGCTTTCGATGCGTGGGCCAAGGCCCAAGATCTTCATTGATATTGTAATGCTTAAATCATGCCTGTATGTAGACTCCAATTTTGTGAAGGAAGCGAATGCTTTTTCAAACTGTTCGGCAGTAACCGAGGGTTGAATAGCTATAGTCATACTTAGTGTTGCATATGATTTTATCAGCCATGGTCCACGACTCAAACATAACATGTAGTTAACAATATGATTTTTTTTATCATACAGCGACAGTTTCATTCACTTAAATATTTTTAACTACGTCTACGTGTATTCGAGCTTAGAAATGTTTCACCATATCAAGGATGGATTGACTGGAATCATTTTATCTTACAAAATACTTCTCTTTCTGGCAGTAAAATCCAAAAATAAAAATTTCCTGCGTAAGTCAAGTTTTCTGAGAACGTATATCGTGGCACAAGTGTGATAAATTTCAATCTTAGCAATCAAGACAATCTCGATATACAAAACGCTTTTGTAATGTTTAAACAGTAAGTAAGTTATTTGACATTCCAGTGTATAAGATGACAAAATGTCCTGATAAGAAAATTTCCTGGGAAGATATTTTGTTGAAAATTTCCTACATTTCCGACATTTTCCAGTGATATCTATCTACTTTGCATAGATCTGCATCTATCATTCAGGTTCCAATAATAACCATTTAAATCCTAATCTACCCTATCCTTTCCCATAATAACCCATGCTACCCCATGTTATTCTTCATTATCACATTTTATCCTATCCTGTCTCCCAAATTCACGTTATTTCAAACGCGGGTTTATATCTCTTAAGGTGGGATAACCCGCAGCAGCTACTGTGTTTACCTATTAGTAGCCGTTTTACCTATTAGTAGTAGTTTGCCGTTTTTCAGTCATTTTTAATAGATTACAAACGGGAAATTGACAGCCCAATAGTCAATACCCTTTGGGGCTATCAATTTCCAGTTTGTAATCTAAAATGACTGAAAATTGCAAACTTCGCAAGGCTATATTATCCGCATTTTACAACATTTCGCAACGAAACTTTGGAATATTACTAATTTTGCGATGCTCTATCAAGCTGTGATGAAATATTTGTCTAGACTTGTTTTGATCAAAATTTAGTCTATTACGCAAATGGTCAATTGCTTAAAAATTTAGCACATAATACGAAATTTCCCCATCAGCCTTGCTAAAACCATACCAACAAATAGTTTATAGATTTAACCGCATTTTCAGCCTGTTGTTGATGCTTGCAAATTCGCAACTGTTTTGTTACTTCTATTAAAGTATTATATGTAGTTCCTTTCAACTCAAAATTTTTAATTGAAATATACCGGTGCTACTGCATTTCCATAAAGGGGTTGTTAAAGCCTACAGAGTGTCATAATATAATATATAATTGATAAATTATTAAATAATGCTCCATGTGTATTTTGGAAAAATACCAATAAAACATTCAAAATTTTGCACACGAGAATTACGCTTGAGAATTTATTTCACTACGCAAAATATTATCCTAAAAATGTTCAGAATTGATTGCAATGCCACATTTGCTTGCTTCACAGTCCAAAGTCACGAAATGAATGACCATTGTTTTATTTTCTCAGTGGGCCTAGATTGGGGGTGCTTTATTTCGACTATATATGGTATCACCCTTATTATGTTTTTATTTCGACTTAGCTTTTTTGAAGGCAGCAAGAAGGCTTTTGTAGACTTCGTCAGGAGATTTTGCGGCATCAATTTTTTGGTGAAGACCTCGTTTCTGGTAGTAATCAATTAACGGCGTGGTCTGTTTGTGGTAACTTTCAAGACGCTTCTTCAAGGTTTCCGCGTTATCGTCCGACCTCTTAACGAGAGGCTCGCCAGTCACCTAGGAGGTGAAACAAGTTTGGATATCAAGGGTGTGTCAGTGATGCAATTATGGACAGTGTATGCATCGCGACTTTGACAGGGCTTCCATTGCAAATAATTAGACCCTTATAATGACGTCAAAAACACGGAAAACTAAGTTTTTGGCAAGCCAATACAGTTTTAAAAAAAAATCATTTGCATTTCTAAAAATTTCCCTTCGGACATCACATTAAGTTAAGTGCCTTTCCACATTTGACGTCCTTATTAGAATGGTCTATTGGTAAGTTGCTTGATTATGTCAAGATTTTAAGCATCTCGCTCGAAAGAATAAATGCAGATGGGATTTTACTATATGGAAATTTCAAACAAAAAGTATACTGTATACAATTTTAGTTACTGTGTACCAAGACAAAAACATTTCAAAACAGAAATAACATATTTTCTCAATCTTATTCTTACATCGTCTTTCATGGGCACTTTTGGAGGGTTGAATTCCTCGTGGTATGATCGACCACTCGGCTTGTGAAATAATCTATAAAGTATAACAATATATTAATTCTAGAGCTGCACTGGAAACAGTTTCTTAAGTTCCAGAAGGAAGTCTGGTCAAAATTGGCAGGAAATGAAAGAATTGCAATCATACCTGCCAGTAATTCTCCGGACGAGTAATGAATCGTCAATAGCAAATTCTATAACAGCATCGAGGTTGGCTTTGCGCTTTTCCAGTAACCCATCAAGCTGAAAAAATGTTTCTTACAATATAACACAGCAGCATCTTGTTTCATTTTTGTCCTCCCAATCTGGACAGGCTTGTTGTGCATAAACGAGTACCCCCCCCCCCAAAAAAAAAAATTATACCCCATCAGATAGTTTTCCCATCCCAAAGAAATTTAAATGATCGCTGGATAAAATATTATTATTGAAATGAGATTTTTGAACTAAATAAGCCTAAAATTCTCAAAACTTCTGGGGGCTTTGATACTTAATATTCACATGTTTTAACTCACCTTCTCAGCTTGAGTTACAGTTCTTGGAAAACCGTCCAAGAGAAATCCATTTTTACATTCTGGTTTGTTCAAATTGTCCTCAATCAATTCCACTACAAGGTCGTCACTCACCAGCTGAAAAAGATGACAATATATCACATATTGACCCCTTGGAAAGTTTGTCCCGGACACAAGGTAGTTTTTGATGGCCAATTAAAGTGTTTTGAACTAGGCAAACATATACTGTTAAACATTGTATAATTGAATCATTCCAAAAAAAACTACTTCACCTGCTAAAAACAATCAGCTTATTTTTAGAAATTATCACCTACCTGGCCACTGTCCATAACTCCCTTAACTTTCTTACCGAGGTCTGACCCAGATGCAACAACAGCTCGTAACATGTCACCTAGGAATGAACAGGATTCATCATTTCCTGAGTGCAATTGTCAATCAGAGGAAGTGCAGAAAGGTTATCAATCAACGCTACGCCCACCAAAAGTTCACGGCAAATAACACCTAAGTAACACCATGGATAATATAATAAATGGATAGGAAACTAGCTGCTGTGACCTAATGTTTTCAATGGGCTGATGGCGTGGTTGCATGTTGAAACCTAGTTGCAAACCAAATTCTCAAAAACAGCATGTTTAGCAATAATACAGCTAAACATTTTAGTCAAAGAGCAAATGAATATAATTACGCCATTCTTCAATGAAATCTCTAAGTATTTCCAGTCAATTTTAGCAAATATTTCAAGTACTAAACAGTGAAAAATGCATCAATGCCAATTTCGTAGCTACAAATGTAAAAAAAATACAAAACAAAGGCGAAAAACATTTACCTTGAATACTTTGTTGTGGCTTAGTTAGACTAACAAAACAGTTAGACCAGTTTATGCTTCAATATTACTCTTTTAAAGCGGAAAATATAGCGAAACAACAAAAATGCAGAGAATTTTCATATATATTTGCAATACATGTGACGTCACAGATTGCAACTAGGTTTAGACTGTGACATCAGGAAGTTTCCTATCCAGTTATTTTACAATCCATGGTAACACAAGCAAGAGTATAACATAAACTGTGTCCATAATTTTAATTTAACATAATCTATAATCACATAAGTCCATTACAATGTACAGTATTTTTTTCCAAGCTCATTATTGACAGACATCATTACAAATTCTATTCATCCGTTATCTACACTGATTTTAAAATTGTGTCAAAAAATTCTGTTTTACAAATTTACAACAAGAACCCTCCTTTAAACTAACCCAATAATTCAAAACAAATCACTAACTTCATACAAAAACACATGCACAAAAACAATGTAGCAATTCCCTTTAAACTCCACAAAACCAAAATAAATATAAAATTTTAATCAAATTCCTTTGGCTGTAATATTATAAATGTTAAAAATTTCCAAACCTGTAGCCAAATGGCAAACACAATATTTTTCTGCTAGCTTTGGCGCCTAAAAAAGACATAAAAAATATATAGGTCATTGCCATTTAATTCTAATCCAAAAAAGTATCAAATTAAAAAGTTCAAATTTAGTGCAAAATTAAATCCAAAACCTGTGTCCCCTTTCCACAAGCTGGTGGGCCCAGCAAAATTGCCTTTATTCCACATTCTTCCGCCATAATCGAAGCAATCTAATGCAAACCTTTTGCAGAAAAATCGCTGAACGTTTTTGCAAGTTTTTAAAACCAGAAATTCCGATGACAGAAACTCCGCAAATATTGTGTTGATAAACAAGACCGAGATCGGGACGCGTTCGTGTCGAAAACGGAACAGGATCGGAATCAAGTAATGTTCGAATTTATATACACGTGTCACACAATTATGTCAAATATACAAAAACACGAATTTTGACATTTTTCAAGCACAATTATGCCCGATTTTATACGATCGATTTTCAAAAGCTTTCGCTATAATAAAACTGGGGACCTAGTTTGCAAACTTAGAAATCAAACTATTCTTTCTGTATGGTACACCTTTTGGACCTATATTTTGCCATTCTGGCTTGATTCCAAAGGTCATTCATTTGAATATCTGTGCAGATTATAATTGTTCATTTGGATCAATGAACTGCCGGCAATTCAGACGAAATTTTTATACTACAAAGTACAAAACAATGCACAAAATGAGGCTAAAAGTAAAAACGAACTGTCCAAACAACGTGAATGTTTCGGTGTAGTCTAATTTAAGCATGAGCCTTTTAATTCTAGGGTGCATTATTGCCACATATTAAGACTAAAAAGTAATGAGGCTAATTTGGAACAGAGAATTAAAATCGAATCCTACCTGAGTTCCCTTGCCTGCACCCGGGGGCCCCATAAGAATGCCCCGTGTCCCTTCATCGCACGAAGCAGAGGACAGGCCACTTTTTCTGATCAAATCCTCAACGATCGGGGCTTCACTCTTGCCTCTACCTGGGTCAAACCTGACAAAAAGCTTACCCAACCAACCATTTTGCACACTGCTCGTGGCCGCCATGTTTAAAGAGACCGATCTCTGCACAGCGGAGTGCCGTCGTAGTGACGTCATGGGAAAAATCCGAGGGTCTTGAAGTCCATCTTGACACGAAGCCATAGGCGCGAGGAATATAAGGAAGCGATGAAATGGAACGGTTTAGCGATTTTAGCCCGATTTCAAAGTATAGATGGGGATCTATATTGGGTAATACACTTGCCAATAGTCCTGGTACCAAACCATGTATATTTTCCGTCTAATGTCATATCACAGGCACAAAGCCAGATCATGTGTTAATGGTTAATTATTTAATTCTGGGAATAAATCATGACGTAATATTTCAATTATGAGGACTGGACTAGATTTCAAGTCCGCGTAATTTGATCAAGTCCGAGGCGAAGCTAGCCTGCGAACAGGCTCTCAAGCTGAATTTGAGAGCCTGTTCGCAGGCTAAGGCGAAGCCGAGTCCAGTCCCAATTGACCATTTGCGTAATAGACAAAATTTTGATTTAAACAAGTCTAGAGTCTGGGTCTAAACTAGCCCTGGGTTGAAAATTTTGTCATGTAATCGTTTCAACCCAGGGCTGAAATTATCACGAGTTATTCGAACATGCGTGGTAGTGACTATTTATTACAAGAAAACAAAATAAAGGCTTTTTACTTCCGCGAATCGATGCCGAGAACGTATAGTATAACGTTTTAACCCCGGGGTTGAAAATGCTCCATGTAATCGGCCCCTTAAAGTGACGTGAATTCATTTTGATCCAGCCCAAGGACTGAATTAATTTTGATTCAGTCCTAGGACTGGATCAATATACTTCATCAGGAGTCCAGTATTATCATGTGAACAACATAAAGCAATATGGTTGGCTAATTTACTCATAATGAGTTTGAGATCGCTATTTCTCTTACAGTTCGCTAATGTCGTATTTACAGGGGCATGCCGTAGTACTTATATGCGGAATTAAGTCATATCAGCACTGTGGTTAGATGAATGCCTATGGCCACTCCATACAGAATCATATATTCTGATTCACAAGCTTATAAGCGCCATTTGGCCTAATAGTTTATAATAATGTATAACATTATAAAATCCTTGGGGGGGGGGGAGGGGCAGTCAGCAAAGTCGTGGGTTGTTTTCTGTGCAAATTCATGGAAAAGCAATTAAATCCCAGGCAGTATTAAATTTTGATCATTCAGCTGCCTTCTATGAATATTTTATTCGATGTTATCCTATCTTTGTCCAAGAGCATGCCGAATGAAAAATTTAGAAATGGCCTGTCCGATTTGATTTATGATGTCAAAGATTTACCGCATTCAGCTGTTGACTTTTGTTATCAGAATGTTTATTTTGTTTTCTTGAATATTAGAAAACAATTTATTTTGCCTTTTCTACTGTATCTTTCTAGCCATGTTTCTCGAAGGGAAGGAATCAGGAAACAATGTTTCCTAGGCCATGTTTCCTGAAGGTGGACAAACTAGGAAACATTGTTTCCTAGCCATGTTTCTTGAAGGTGGACAAACTAGGAAACATTGTTTCCTAGCCATGTTTCTTGAAGGTGGACAAACCAGGAAACATTGTTTCCTAGCCATGTTTCCTGAAGATGGACAAACCAAGAAATATTGTTTCCTAGCCATGTTTCCTGAAGGTGGACAAACCAGGAAACATTGTTTCCTAGCCATGTTTCTTGAAGGTGGACAAACCAGGAAACATTGTTTCCTAGCCATGTTTCCCGAAGGTGGGTAAACCAGGAAACATTGTTTCCTAGCCATGTTTCCTGAAGGTGGGAAAACCAGGAAACATTGTTTCCTAGCCATGTTTCCTGAAGGTGGACAAACCAGGAAACATTGTTTCGTTGGTGGACAGACAACGATATTTCTGGAAAACATCCGAATTCGTTTCAACAATGTTTCCTAGTGCTTATACTGTTATAGTATTTCCCAATAATTCAAAGTTTTATAATTTCCGGACAGTTTGAAAATAATAAATCTTATTTGTAAATATCCCCAGACGAAATATTTAGTTTACTAAAAATAACCTTTCCAAACTGTTTTAAAAACTATATTGTGTCCTTACACTATTTCAAGCAAAATGCAACCAGGCAACGCATAAAAATAATAATAAAATCCTTATATTACCACAAGGTCACAGGAGAAAATTATATACAAAACCTACAGAGCACAGTTGACACGTATATCGGTGGCAAAACCTTTACAATATTAAAATTTTATTCATAAAGAAGAAAAAAACACATGTATTATTAACAAGAACTCTTAAACGAAAATTACTTAATGAGATCTTTGGACAAATAACGCTTGGACACAAATGAAATTCATAATTTATTAACGCTGTTGTTTCCGCAAGGACATTTGGTCAAAGACTTGATTTAAAACACACACAGATATTCAGTTTAGCGTTTTCTGTGAGGAATAGAAGTTTGTAGCGCGGATTACCGGGCATCGTTTTTAAATTAATCTTGAGAAAATAAGCGACAGTCCCAAGGCAATTGACATCAAACCATTAAAGCTCATTAGGATTTAAGCTATAACCGGTAGAAAGTCTGGAACGAAGCGGTTGTTTGTAAATACAAATTGTAACAAAGCTGCTATATGCAACATGGATTCTTCAGATTGCAGTCCTCAATCCAAACGGCATTCGTATCCAGTGATTTTGACTTATACTGAAACTCTAAGCGTCCTGAGCGAGAATCAAAGGGAGTATAATCGAAAAGAATCCATTAAAAGGAGTAAAACTCCAGTGTTAGGTCAAACTGGAAGCGATGAAGAACGAAGACAGAAGCTTCAACAAGCGCTTGACTGGCTCAGCCAAGAATTGGTAAGTATATATGTTTACTTATATTAGGAATCTACAGCATAGGTTCTAGGTTTTACTAAGCACTGTCGCACAGCAGTTGCCATAAACATTTCTGAAATGGATCACCGCCAATATACACTACTACAATTCGGTCAACTGTTTCATAGTTCGCATTGAATAGTTTTTGACATCACTAGTTTGACGTGAAGAACTAGTGCCGTAGTGATATATGGTGAAGAATAAAGGTAAAAGCAATGATAGTCCAGGAGTTCCCTTTTCGCCTTCGGTTAACTTACCCAGTCTCAACTGTAAATCATGCAGTGGCAATTTCTGCTATGGAGAAGTACTGACTGCCATCACATTAAACAATTCGAAATCAGGGATAGACGCTTGACTATTGTGCCGTTTTACTTCGAAGGGATTCGGTTTCTTACTTAGCTTTGTCTTAAAGAATTGATAAATTTTATGAAAAGGAAAGTACACGAATCACATGCAACTTTTTGATCTTCAACACATTTTTTTAAGATGAAACTATTTGAAAAGCATATTTGAAGTAATGCTTCATATTTTTCACGAGTAGTGGCAACCAACTTCTTGTTTAAATATTGCCTATATACACAATGTCAAACTCTCTACATTTCCTATTCAGCAACTTCTAAATTTGGCAATGATATCATGGATCAATGTAAAAAAAAGATAATCGTAAATTATCGTATCTATTAAAGACAAGACCTCCACGGGTGTTCAATAAATTGAAACAAAAACATATCAAACACAACTTCATTATAATGCATAGACAAAAACAACGCATTCTACTGAGAAATGGGAGAAATATCCACAGGAGTCAAGCTTACGCGTCGCGTCTACATAGAGGAATAGATTTCGTTCAGAAATTTTAGACAGAATAATTTTGGAAGAAATTGAAGAAGAGGAAAGATATAAATACTCGGTGTCCTTGGAAGACAAACAAATCACTTTTAGCCTGACCTTTGTGGGATTGTGGTTTCGATGAGGGTTGAAATTAAAGCGTTTTGATTAATATTTGACGATTATATCAGTCAATCTTTTTTAAAAGATAATAAAATGACATTAAAATCTGAAATGATACTGCAAGATTTTGCGAGAGCATAAACTATAAAACCGATAAGCTTTCAGTAGAAATATACAGGTAGAATTTGAACATGATAAGTATATGCAAGGGTAAATTCTTACAGGTGTTTAATGGACGCAAATTGTCGTCTCGTGTATATGCTAATGATGCTAACTTGCATAGCATAATCGTTTTCCCTGTATGAGGTGTAGACTTACTGCCGTGGTTTGTGTCTGGACTACCCGCAAAACATTACAAACACTTTTAAGTTTTTAATGCTAGTCTCAATATTTAGTTAGTATTTTTAATTCATAATAGTTGGCGCGATATCCCTCAAGGATTTTGCCGACTTTAACCAATGTAAATGTAAATGAAAATGTGCATGTAGCTCACTGGAAGCTCGTGTGTAAGAGATTAAAATTTTCTCACTTTTCGACATTTTCCCATTCTAGAAAGACATGTATCACCAAGACAAGTTCTTACTTCGTCAGTTTAATCATTTAAACCGAAGCATTCAGGAACTTAAAGACAAACGAGAGGTTAAAGAAGAAAGCGAGGTAAACTGCCGATACTTTATAGAGTTAAAATATAAATTAACCAACTTTGTTTATACTGGATAAATCTATCAGTGAAAATGTATAAATGTACTATTTTCATTTACCAGATAAAACCAGCTAAAACAACTCGTGATAAAGCAGAGCAGGGCAAGAATCGTAAACCAAAACCTCAAGAACCACCCACAGAAGAGCAGAAAGTACCTCAACCAAAGAAAGAACCAGAGCCAATAATTCACGGGGAATTCAAACTGGAAGACTTGAAACAAGCTCAAATAAGACAAGCACAAAAACGCCAGGCTGAACAGAAACTACAAGAAGAACTAAGTAAATATAAAGAACTAAATGTAAACAAAAACAAACAAAAACATGAATCAAGTAAACAAAAACAAGAGCAGAGTAGACAAAAGTCACAAGAGAGTAAACTGAAACAACAAGACGACACAAAACACGATAAACGCTCGTTGAACAGCGAGTACGATTCCGATTATGGCTCCGACCAGAGTGTGGATAAATATGAAGTGGATTATCTACAGCCACAGAAAAACATTGCTATTAGTAGTAAGAGTCCCAAGGTCTCCCCGAAACAACAGCGCAAACGCTGGTCGTGGTGGAAATAGTGGATAAGTATGGATAGGTACTGTACATAGAGGATAAATAAAGAGTATCTATGGCTACATTAAAGGATACATAAATGATAACCGTGAATAGATATATCATGGAGAAATAAAGGATAAATAAAATATACTATTTGTTTAGTTTTGAAATATTAAAATATATACTAACATATAATTTGTTGTCCATGCAATTTAAATATTTTTTTAGAAATTGTTTTGAAAAATGTATGTGCATCTATGAACAAAACTATATAACCATTTGTTTATATCTCGGTAACAAAATTCCTTAAAACATTTTTTTATATATATACATCTACACTATCTAGATGGGTTTCACTAAGCAGTATCGTGCAGCAGATGGTGGTCAACCTGCAGTTATCAGAATGAGAAAATAATGTTCATTCTTTTCATTAAATGTGGTAGTCTTGTATTTGGAGTCAAATAAATACAATGGACCTATTCCCTAATGAACAAAATTTTGATCAAGTCTAGACAAAGATTTTATCACAGCTTGAAAGAGCATCACAAAATTAGTAATATTCCGAAGTTTCGTTGCAAAATGTTGTAAAATGCGGATAATATAGCCCTGCGAAGTTTGCCGTTTTTCAGTCATTTTGTATTACGCACGGGAAATTGATGCCGCTTTTTGAAAAGAGGTATCAATTTCCCGTGCGTAATACAAAATGACTGAAAAACGGCAAGCTTCGCAAGGCTATATTATCCGCATTTTACAACATTTCGCAACGAAACTTTGGAATGTTACTACTTGTTTTGTGATGCTCTTTCAAGCTGTGATAAAATCTTTATGTAAACTTGTCTAGATCAAAATTTGGTTCATTAGGGAATAGATCCATTGAGAAATATAGTTTAATTTTCATGCTCCCATATAGTAATAATGTTTCTAAGGTTGACCATGATCTACTGTGATGCTTCCTGAAACCAACCAATTCAAAAATATAAAATTTTACCTCACGAACAAAAGAATGACGTAATATCCGGTACCCCAGCAATCCTCCGTTTCCGTCGGCTCGTTCTCAGCCTCTCGCGCAGCTCGGCCGTAACCAGACGGTGACAGGGGACACATAGTGTCCTATAATTCTCCAGATCACACTCGCCACCCCCTTCTGCCACTGCTACCACGTGATCAGCTTCCCAGAACTAAGTGCGGAGAAATAAACAAAGATTTAAGTAACGGAGTGAACGACCTACCGGCTAGAACCGAGGCTAGCATAATAGTAGCCTGTGTGTCAGGCTCCATGTTTGAAATAGACCCGGCTACCGAAGTCAATAAAAATCTAATCAGGGTGTCCACCCTTTGGTGAAGGTGAATTTCAAGGACTTTTCCAGGACTTTCAAGGATCTTTTTCAGTAAATTCAAGGACTGGGAAAATAATCTTTGAAAATAGCACAAGTTTGCCTCACTTTATTCAGTAATTTTAATCAAAATCACTAATGCTGGCACAGCTGGAGGTCAAGGAAATTAATTCCAGGACTTTCAAGAACTTCTACTGATTTTCAAGGACTTTCCAGTCCTGGAATTTTTTTTCAACTCAAGAACTTCCCAGGATTTTCAAGGCCGGTGGACACCCTTGTCTAAAGCCGTGTTTACACTACGAGCCTAAGCCTGGCCTAGACCTAGCTTTGGACTAGATTTTTGTAGTGTAAACGCACTTTGGCCTGTTCTAGGCTAAGAAATCTAGGCCACCTGTTCTGATGGGTCCAGATTTACTGGCCTAGGCCAGGCCAAAGTGCGTTTACACTACAAAAATCTAGTTCAAAGCTAGGCCTAGGCCAGGCTTAGGCTTGTAGTGTAAACACGTCTTAATTAACAATCGTTCTTACTCCAGTAATGTATAGAGGTCACCGTAGATTGCGATCTTACCATGCCCTCTTTGGGATCAACAATAATTTTATTCAACAACGTCACAGGTAGAGATATAAACGGCGTGTTCTCCAAATACGACCGTCGGTCGGCTTTCGGGAGAAGTTTGATGGTGCGATAAAGTTCATGAGCGTCACAGCCACATTTCTGACAGACACCTTTTTCATCTTCGAACAACTGCTGACGAACCCGCGTGCCACTGATACGACACTGGATGAAAAATGAAAAGAAAAGTAATCTTAGCTGTTGGTGGATTTCTACCTGGATATCAAGATCAGTTTAGAATTGACAGAGCTATCCAGTATTTATAGTTAGTTTAGTTTAGGTTTCCTCCTGAAGTAACACTGGATCAATAAGAGATGATCCTTACTGGACCTCAAGGAAGAACAGTTTAGAACTGATAGAGCTATCCAGTATAAATAAGGTTAGCCTCTTATACCTGGTAAAGTTCTTTGCATTTATGTGAACAAAACCTCTCATCCCACAGACAGTTAGTATTCTTTGTGTCCACCAGTCCCTTACATGACAAGCATAGCGGTCGACCATTCTCATCAACTGCTTGAATCCAACGTGTGTGTTGGTCGTTCGTTGCTGAAACATCTTCTTCTACCGAACATCCCCCAGTCTTCCTTCCCTTGGGTTTCACACAATGTCGCACCGTCCCATTCTTCGCTTGAGCTGCATCCAGAACCTCAGCTTGCAATTTCTCCTGTAAATTTATAACTGCATTAGGTGGAGTAAATTCCTGACAAAGGCTCCTCTGTCAAAGCTTGCAACTCAGTACAAAGTCCGACTAAAGACGTACCTTCGATGGAAAACGACTCGTACATAGCTTTCGTTCCTGGATATAGGAAAAAAATTAAAGGAAACAATTTCACGTGTAAAATCTCACAAAGTATGTTCTTTATAGTAGGCAGATAAAGCTTTCCTAAAGTAATACCCTTCCCTCGACCTACAGTAGCAGGCTTAACTCAGCAGTAAGAGACAGCACTCTAACTACATCTGTCATCTTTGCTTTCCTAAAGTAATACCCTACCCTCGACCTACAGTAGCAGGCTTAACTCAGCAGTAAGAGACAGCACTGTAACTACATCTGTCATCGTTGCTTTCCTAAAGTAATACCCTACCCTCGACCTGCAGTAGCAGGCTCAACTCAGCAGTAAGAGACAGCACTCTAACCACATCTGTCATCGTTGCTTTCCTAAAGTAATACCCTACCCTCGACCTGCAGTAGCAGGCTCAACTCAGCAGTAAGAGACAGCACTCTAACTACATCTGTCATCCTTGCTTTCCTAAAGTGATACCCTCCCCTCGCCTACAGTAGCAGGCTTAACTCAGCAGTAAGAGACAGCGCTCTAACCACATCTGTCATCTTTGCTTTCCTAAAGTCATACTCTACCAGTAACGAGCAGCACGGCAATCTGTCATGTACAAGTACATGTTTAAAAACAATATATTCATTACCTTTTTGATCGCTTCCAGCGCCTCGTAAGGATCGTCAAATATCACTCCAGCTTTCTTGATCATCCTGCGATTTCTCTGTTTAAGGCTTTTCCACTGTCGTGCAAACCGCAAAATTTGTTTTCTGTTGGACGGCTCAGCCAGCAGAGCGGGAACATTTCCTGTATCCGAGCCTTCCATCTCAAGGATATTAACATTGCAGTTCAGCGGATCTCCGTCCTGTATTTAAAGGAAAGTTGTTCAGTATAAATAAAGTTAGTTTAGTTTTGGTTTCCTTCTGTAGTAACTAGTAAAACTGGATCAATAAGAGACGATCTCTACTGGACCTCTAGATCTTGTATAAATAACGTTAGTTTGACATAATCTTACCCCGTCATACAGAAACACACGATCTGTATAATTGCTTAGGCGAAACATTAGGTTCTCTATGACCTCCGGTTTCCCAATATGTTCCCGAGTTCCCTCATCTGGTGTCCCAATAGTTCCATCCAATCCCTCATCATCGACTATGAGATGACTCAAATTTTTATATTGCTCTACAAGTGACTTCTGGTCTTTCTTATCGCCATGACAACACTTCGTACACTTCCGAATGACGTCATCGCCAAAGTTAAACTCGCCACAGTCCTCGCACCGCCAGCAATCATCATCTTCGAGACCCGTTACCAGGTCTTCAAAACAGTCACTCGGTTTCTTGAGCCCGCAAGTCTCACATTGGTCAGCGGCATCGTCGTAGTTGTAATTCTTACATGACATACATACCCACCAATCATCGTCCGTGATGTCGTCAAACTCGGACTCAGTCCCAAAAGGATTCTCGGTCGCTGTGTCTGGCTCGCAAGGTGACGTCATAATTTCGTCCTCGCAAGATGACGTCATAAGCTCATCCTCACATGATGATGTCATAATCTCGTCCCAGAACTCATTTAGTGGCACAGAAGCAAATAAATCCACATCACTTGTATCCAGTTCATATGTTTCAACCGGTTTAAACAGTATTTCAGGTTTAACTGCTATTTCATGTTTAACTGGTATTACAGGTTTAACTGGTATTTCATGTTCAACTGGTATTTCAGGTTTAACTGGTATTTCATGTTCAACTGGTATTTCAGGTTTAACTGGTATTTCATGTTTAACTGATATTTCGGGTTCAACAACTATTTCAGGTTTAACGGGTATTTCAGGTTTAACCGGTATCTCTGGCTTACTCTCTGACAGATGTTCCGCCGAAGTGTTTTTGTTCGAATCGTCCACTGACAAAGACGAACCTGTGGATTGTTCACTACTGTTTGCTACTACTGATAAATCCGTTTTATCCTTTGTTCGCTTACCATCGGACTCCTCATTACCCCTTGATACCGCTACTGAACCCTTATTGCTGTTTTTGGACCTCTTCCTACCATTCTTATGACCAGAGTTCCTTTGATCAAGCCCTGAGCATTGTTCCAAAATTTTAAGTTGTTTTCGCGCTACAAATTCATCCGTAGAGCACTTGGTGTTCATTGATTTCCTCCGGCTTTTGTATCGCGGCGTATCACACATCTCACACACACGGAGAAATGCGTTGTTGTTGAACGTACATAGCGAACAGCACCATGTTTTAAAATCGTTTCTATCTTCTGCGCTTGTGGGAACCAATGGCACTGGCTTAGTTTGTGTGCCTTGAGATTCAACACTGTCAACCATTAGCTCCCTTCTTGCTGCAATTGGCTTGCTATCAAATATACAATCATGCTTGCCCAACGCGATAGTTGGCAATGGTTTGCTTTGTTTAACTTCAAAATTACCACTGTCAATTGCAAGTTCCCTTCTTGCAATTGGGCTGGTTTTAGAACAATCATTATGCTTGTCCAATGCACTGTTTGGAGTCAAAGACAGTGGCCCAGCTTCTTTAACTTCAGAAGTAACATCATCAATCGTTTGCCCGCTTGTTGATGTCTTTACAACAGTAGAAATAGATGCACTTGTCATTGGGTTGCTACTAAAACAACTATGGTTCTTCGACGTACAATCTGAGGCCATAATTACAATGTTATTTTGTTCAACTACAGAACTAACATTGCCAACGGTTTGAACACTGTTTTCGCTAGGGCAGCCATTTCCAACACTCTCCTTGCTATCCGATACTAGCTTGCCAAATTCTTTGCCGTTTTCGACCAAATTTGAACTATTTTCCCTTTCGCTTTTCGCCACAAGCTCAATCACGCCATCAACATTGTTTCCCTTGCAAGCATCTTCCAAATTTCGACCTTTTGACTTCGACGACTTGTTCAAAAGACGTGTATAAGAGGAAAGCATATCAACTACTTCCGCACTGGCTGGCTTGCTACTTTCATCCGCGTCAATTTTAGTAATTTCTCGAGCAATTTCCCAAGCAATTTCTTGGCTTTCTGAAGCTTGTACGGTGGTAGTTTCTCCGGGCATTTCAAGTGATTTCTGTTTTCCAAGTTTGTATGTTTTCTTTGTTGTTTTACGTAGTGAACTATCTTCGTCACTTTCACTGTCGACTATAATGCAAATCTTTGGTTCCGGTGTTGCTTGGATCTCTTTTTCAACAGCTTCACAATTTTGCTCTTTCTAAAATGGATAGAATATAATAAGTGCATATTTAGTTTAGGTTTCTTCCTGTAGTAACACTGGATCAATAAGAGATGATCCTTACTGGATCTCTAGGAAGAACAGTTTAGAACTGATAGAGCTATCCAGTATAAATAAAGTTAGTTTAGTTTAGGTTTCTTCCTGTAGTAACATTGGATCAATAAGAGATGACTCTTACTGGACCTCTAGGAAGAACAGTTTAGAATTGATAGAGCTATCCAGTATAAATAAAGTTAGTTTAGTTTAGGATTCCCCCTGTAATAACACAGAATCAACAAGGGATGATCCTTACTGGACCACTAGGAAGAACAGTTTACAATTGATAGAGCTATCCAGTATAAATAAAGTTAGTTTAGTTTAGGATTCCCCCTGTAATAACACAGAATCAACAAGGGATTATCCTTACTGGACCTCTAGGAAGAACAGTTTAGAATTGATTGTGCTATAATTCAGCATACCCGAGTGGATGAATCCTGAGACTCGGACCATTCTTTACCGCTGTCTATTTTTCTGCATTTTGTCGATGAAGGTGAATGAAAAAACTCCGTCAATGATCTTTGAAGCACGTCTTGTTTTCGTTTCTTTTGACTCTAGAGCAGAGATTGTCGATTACATAAATATTGAATGAATGAACGTATCACACAGTCACCACAAATGAAGTGTAAAGTTGCCGAGTTTCAAACTTACATGGGTAAAAAGAAAATCATCTTCTGCCACGCCATCGTCTTCGTCCTCCATCACCCAAGCTGAAAATGCTTCGAGAAGTTTCGATTGACTTTCGCTGCCTTCTTCAACATCAAGACCTTGTAACTTGCCATTTAATGCCGTCGAAGTCACGTAAATCTTGAAAGATGGGAAGAGAAAGCTTTAGTGTACAGTGTATTTTCCTTGTGACAAGCTTTCGTAATGGACCTATTACCTAATGAACAACATTTTGATCATCACAGCTCGAAAGAGCATCACAAAATTAGTAATATTCCGAAGTTTCGTTGCCACATGTTGTAAAATGCGGATAATATAGCCCTGCGAAGTTTGCCGTTTTTCAGTCATTTTGTATTACGCACGGGAAATTAATATCGCGTTCTGAAACTTCGGAATATTACTAATTTTGTGATGCTCTTTCAAGCTGTGATGAAATACTTGTCTAGCCTTGTCCAGATCAAAATTTTGTTCATTAGGTAATAGGTCCATTGCCCAAACGTGCATGTCTGTAATTTAAACGAGACATAAAAAATGGTATTAATATTTAAGTTAATAAATCTTCTGCGCATAGGAAAAAATTATAAAATAGTCAAGAATTTAGAACATATCAAGACATCGCTGTACGATCAGAAACATAGTTGTTACAAGATAACTGGCATTTTATAAAGTTAGACATAAATTAAAAGAGTAAAATTCCAGGATTCTAGCGAGGAGCGGAAGAAACTCGAGTCGAC